TCTCTAATGACTATTTGAATGCTTGTTTATTTCTCCATTTGACGATTTGTTTTCTTGATCCTGGCCTTCGATTTGTACGTACGTACGTACGTGCGTGCGTCAACAGCATGCACCATATGCATATCATGCGATCGCGTGATTGTACGTGTGCTAGCGCATTGCCTATATAATAACAAAGGGCGCATTTTCACGGCACTTGCGCCTTATTAAAGCACTAAATACGAAGCTAGAAGAGAGCTCGTGGGCGGCAGACTGTTCATGATTCGTGTATTTTTACTGTTCTAATAATTTATGGGCGCATTTTCACGGAAAACACTTGCGCCTTGCCGTCTAGTTTTAGATGATTATGGGCGCAATTGGTGGTTTTATGTGCGCAAATTTAAAAAAAAAGGGCACGTCCAGTTGGAAAAAAAGGCACGTCGGCCAGTTTGAAAAAAAGGGCACGGCCTTTTTGGCCGTGAATTTATCTTTTTTTGGGAGGGCACCGCGGCCAGTCATAGGGGCATCGACGGCCTGGCCGTCGATGGCCGTCGATTAATTTAAGGCCTGCAATTTTCATTTTGACAATTGAAATACAATTATTTGTAAAAGGTTACTAAAGTAATTGCACTGAACAAAGACTTACATGTACTGTACATTGTTTTGTAAGCATGAATTTTGAATACACTACGAAAATGGTCTATTCTATCCCTATGTACTGTAGGCCTTTATTTTGTAGCATTAATCTACATGTAATAGACCAGTTAATTTATTCAAATTCTATGCACACTATTCAACAGAACTTGGTCTGATCAAAAAGAAAGCATGTCAGATGCTAGCCCCAACATAGCAACAACCAATAATTGCAAACTATTCATTTATTGCAGTGAACCAATTAGATCAGCTTACTAATATAATATTCAAATTTATGGATGTTTCTTTTCTGGGGACATAGTGATGAGTTACCATCAAACTGTTAGTAATGCAGAACTACAATACTTGGAATCCAGTCTGCACTCTGCATATATTACATGTTGCTATGTCAGGCAAGCCTTGCAAGCTTTATGGTTGTGAAGAACAACCTTTGTTTAAGAAGTACAGTATGCATACAGTGTGAATAATTATGTTAAGTAAACCCATTTTAGTGGCTTATTTAGGGCTCTTCATATTTACAGGGACTGCTGGGTACGACCAGCTGTCTACAGTTATCTATTGATACATACGTGTACATGTACTCTACAGTAAGTACCTGCACACGTTTCTTTTCACAATTACATAAAACATGTGTACATGTACAGTACATTGTACGGCTGCGACGGGTAGTCGAATGCTCGAGTACCCGCACGGTTGACAACTACTCGGGTACGATTTCTTGTACCCGAATGTTCGGCCGCAAAAAAAAAAAAAAAAAAAAAAAAAAAAAAGGAAAAAAAAATCCAAAAATCCAAAAAAAATCAAAAATATTAAAAAAAATTATAAAAAAACATGGCATCCGAATATTCGAGTATTCGCCTGTGAGCCTGGGAGTGTACTCGGGTACCTCATTACACTGTTGTGCACAGCCCTTGTACATTGTACATGTATAAGAGGAAATTATTTTCTGCAGAAGTCTATTGTACTTGACTACATGTACTTGTTACCCTTATTAAATGTTATGAAGTGTTTTAACACAATTAGCTTCCTGTGATTGTTATAAATTTGTGTCTTATCGAACATTGAACAAAGGTCTACTACATGTACTAGTTAGGGTGTTTGATGTTTATGTACAAATCCAACAATATTGTTGAGGGACTACAACTCCGTCAAATTTTTTCTCCAAGTTTAAGCCTCGGTCACAAATGCCATTACGAACTGCGACGAACGCCGTACGAATGATTTTCAGACGATGGAAATTCGGGAAGACAATGGAAAAACGGAGATTCGTACACAATTATTGTTCGTAACTTCGTACAAACCTTTGTGGCCGTAGCATTAGTTTTGTAAAATACATGTACCTGTACATGTACATTTCTTTTCCTATCATGTCAAATTACATGTGTAATTGTGTATTAAATACTGAATTGTGTTGGAGGGGGGAGGGTCAGTCTCGTAACCAGAAGGTCCCGGGTCTGAAACCGATTCGATGTGCTATTGCCCTTTGGGGTAAGGCCCCGGCCCCCCCCCCCCCACTCAAGGGTCGGAATGACTGCATGCGTGTTACCAAAATGTCCGGTAAAGGGGTACTTTTCACGCACCAAAGTCTGGCTCGTACATACACAAAATTGACTTTACACACCGAACTTAGGGGGTGTTTTCAAAAGGAGGGAACATGCATATGCGTACCCTAAATAACATTGTGTAGCTCTACAAAAATCCAAAAGAGCCATGTCAGATTGAATTAGACCAGTGATAAATAACTACAACATACAGGTATTGACATTAACAAACAAAACTAAACTACTAAAGCATAAAAAACAACCCTCCCCCCTAAAAAAATATAAAAAAATTAAAAATAAAAATAAAATAGATAAATAGAAATTTAAAAAAAAACAACAACAACATAAAATGAAATAAAAACTAGACATATAATACTTGTTTGGAACAAGTATAGGTGGGCTGGTCAACTAAAATTTGAGACAAAATTGAGCAAAAATAAGCGAGTTACTGCTTAAAAATCTTTAAAAAAAAAATATCATGTAGTTTCATGACATGAACGAAATTCACCTTCTATAGGGATAACATTCAAATTATGAAATTTCTGACATGAGGCCTTTAATCGAAATTTTCATTATGATGACGTCATCAAAATGAAAATTAAGCTTGTAGAGAATTGTCTTAGCTACAACATATCGAAATTTTGAAGAAAATTGATCAATATTTACAGAGATTTCCCATAAATATGCTGACGTCAAAATATGCAAATTCGTATTTTGAGTTCCAAGGCCATTATGACGATGTCGTGATATTTGTAATGGCCAAATGAGACATGATTTCATATCTCCGTCTCATACTTTATCCAAATATGAAAACAAAATTGAGGGTCCCGGTTTATCCAAAAGAGGTATAATGGATTTTGTATAGGCAAGTTTTCGCCCATATATGCTATGTACTACAAGACCTCGCGCGCACGGAAATTTATCTTGAATGGACGCTCATCTTAATATTAATGGTCATAAAGAGATGAACATGGTATCAAATTGCATAAACAAATATGGGAATTATCATGAAAGAAAAAAAAATGGCGATTCTATGTTATGTAATGGTGTTACGCGCGAAAACGCGCACACATGCGCGCGTGCGCGATTTTTTATAATATGCTTAAAATGGCCTGAAACGTATGCAAACAAAATTTAAGACGATTTTGAGAATTTTCTAATTTTGCGCGCGCACTGACGCGCGGACGTACGCGCAGGCGCGCGTTTTTTGACCCGAAATTGACCGGACGGATATTGACCTTGATCATGTTGAATATGAATGAAAAATGATTTACCGTTATGAAAATATGATCATGAGTAAATTTTCAAAAAAATTCACAAAATGGCGCCTAGATGACGTCATCAGTCAAGGTCAAGGTTGAAAACTTTGCTGTGCTTTGTTCATATGCCTATAAATACGTGTGCCAAATTTTAAGACATTTGCTTGAGCCATTTTTAAATTATCTTGCACACAAAAAAGTGGGTCGAATTAAGAAAAATAAATAAATAAATAAATAAATAAAGGCGATTTTAACAAAAATATAAGGTGGTCTGTATTATATACAGCCCACCTGATTAAAAAATAAATAAATGTAAAGAGGCAAAAAAAATAAAAAAATAAAATAGAAATCTGTAAAATCAATTGCAAATCTGAATTTTCCCTTTTTGTGCTGAAATTTATTCACTTGGAAAATAAATGTGAATAGACCATGAAGAATGGATACCTGGAAGTGCATTTCTGCTTTCATAGAAAGCTTTCTCGACAATGTTGCAAGCACTTTTTCTTATTGAACATTGACATTGTAAATCAACCGTAAATGAGATCACACCTCAAATTCAATGAAGTAAATCACCCTGAATGACTAATTCATGCACAGTTAACCTCCCTCATGTTGAAGGCTTGTACCCCAGGCTGCCCAGTCATTTTATGTACACTCTCTGCATTGACTGAAACAGGATTCCCTCATTTTGGATCTGGACTGAAAGACTATACCCAGGAAGCACATGGTATAGTGTTGCCTTGAGTTCATTCAGGCTTGCAAGCAAGTGGCCTAACAAAAGTAGTTCCGGCTGGTGTTAACCTCTCATTTCATGAACTCTGTAAATACCAAGTGGTAGAAGTATGCCAGAATTGTGAAAGGAGAGAACCCATGATACACATATATGATATGCATTTATGTAAAATTGAACAATGTTTTTATTTGATCAAGTTTCTTGCATGTGAACATCAACTTACATGTAGTACAGCATAAAGGGTTATGATTGGAATGTACAGTGTCAGATTGCTGAGACTAGACTGAGACTAGGATGGCACAGAGTTTCTTTTCTTCTTCTTCTCTTTCATTTCTTTTCTTCCTTCCTTTCTTTCTTTCTTTCTTTCTGTCTTCCTTTCTTTCTGTCTTACTCTCTTTTTAAATCTCTCTTTCTCTCTACCTTTCTACCTTTCTTCCTTCCTTCCTTCTTTTTTTTCTTGATTTTTTCTTTCTTTTCTCTTTCTTTCTCTCTTCTCCTTTCTTTCTGTCTTACTCTCTTTCTAAATCTCTCTTTCTCTCTACCTTTCTACCTTTCTTCATTCCTTCCTTCTTTTTTTTGGATTTTTTCTTTCTTTTCTTTCTTTCTCTCTCCTTTCTTTCTCCCTCTCTCTCCTTTCTTTCTTTCTTTCTTTCTCTCTTCTCTTCTCTTTCTTTCTTCTTTCTTTTTTCTTTTTTCTTCCTTCTTTCTTTCCTTCCTTCTCTCTTTCCCTCCTCCTGTTGTATTAGACTTTAGAGGTCATGTTTAGTGTCTGGCACTGTAGTCTCCTTAGTAGACATTTTATATAAAATACATGTACTGTAGTTCTTGTGAGATAAGCTGCTTTTATTTATATTTGTGTAATGAGCATTACCTTATTGTTAGAGACTAGCCAATGATTAGCACTGTTTATCTTTACTTGAGTTCATATAGGTGTGGGTCTTTCAGTTGCTAGAAACTGCAAAGCACAACTTTATGAAAGAAATTTGGGCCTTGCTGAATTCAAACTGCTGTCTGAGGATTGAACTTGACTAAACAGATCATATTGAACTACAAATATCATCGATAACTTTACACTCGACCATGAACAATAACAATTAATTCTGGAGTAAAACTTGACCTAGAATAATTGAAATCTTGGGTCAAAGGTTCCAGACAATACTATGGTGTGTCTGCTGATCAATACTCAATACTAGCCAGTGCAAGAAACGACGGATCAATGAATATGCTATGCACTGTGCACATTGTGTTATAGCTTTATTGCTCAGCCCTTGGTGAATCTAGTGTTAAATGAGTAATTTCCTTGCTATTTTTGACTGCAGGAGCTGTAAGATTTTACCTTATTTGGGGCTTACAATCTGAATCTTACCTATCCTGCATGATGAAACTATTCCTTTTCTACAATGTTAGTAAATTGAATTGATTAATAGTCTGGAAGATGTAGACTACTATGGGCCTTGGTGTTACAATGGGTCATGAAGACCCTTAGTAACTGCAGTGCGTGTATGCAGTGTGTGTGTGTGAGCCTGCAGTGTTATTACGTACAATACAATAAGTGTTCTCGAGTTGAAGAATAAAGCAGATTCCTGTACGGTGAAGCACGTGGGTCTTGTGCATTATGCTATGATCTTATCACCCTTGAACGTGAGTACATGGTTATGTGACTATATCTTTGATTAATATGCAATGCTATTTGTGTTTTATGGATATTAGTTACTCTCTCATTGTCAGATACAAATCCTGTAGCTTTGCTTTACCTCCATTCTAGCCAATGTACATGTACATGATGTACAGTATGTACATCATCCATTTTACTGTGCCTGTTGTGTATGTGTGGCCTACATGTACATGCCCATTGTACTGGTGGCCAGTGGCAAGCCTTACTGACTGTTGTATAATTATCGTACATGTAATTCAAACTTGGACGACTTATTTTTACTCCTGAAACAAGAAATAGGGACAAATAATTCAATAAATGCACACTCCCTACCCTTTTTTTTTTTTTTCTGGTCAGTGCTGATGGTACAATGAAAAGAAGTTTGTGCAAGAACTGAAGAAGAAGAAATTATATTTGAACATACATGTATGAATTACATGTACATGCATGTACTGTACAGGTTTCACACAGTATATGTACTTTTTTGTACATGTATAATGCCTCATGTTTGTTAGTAATCTGATGAACTTGTATATAATTATTTTGCATCTGTTTTCGCAGCCCGTAGAGATGTTTTTAAATTACTAATTTTTTTAAAGTAGCGATTTCAACTTTTTGTTTTCAGTCATGGCACTCTTTTAAGAAGTAAAAGTTAGCATCCTATCGCACCCTATATTTGACACATTTCTTACAATTGTTATTGTGAAACGAGTGAAGCCTAGCCCTATTCCTACTGGTTGTGTCAGCAGCTATACAATACAGGGTCTATTGAATGCAGTCTCTGAATAGTCTCCTAGCTCAGACCCACTGTTGACGTGTTTATTACTATGGACAAGGGTTTGTGTCTGCACAGTACAAACTACATGTAGTCTGGAACAGTATCTAAATGAACTTTGTACCGTGGGTGAGACTAGGTGGGTGTGCTTGCATATTGACCTCCACCTGATAACCCAGGAAATTACAGACACCAAAGGCCATCTTATCACTGTCTAGCCTTACCCAAGTCATGCTTGGGAATTACTTTACCCCCACCTGACTTTTAGCAACTTGTATGGTCTTCAGTCATGTAAACCTACAGGCTCCATTTTTATTTTGTAGCAATTAAGGGGGCATACTTGTAGGCCCTACATAATGTTTACCATGTACTCGATCATAAATGTCAATGAATTTATAAGCACATGCCAAATTTGAAGAGCTGCACCTGTAAGTCTATTATTTAAACATGTTTTATAGACTGACTGTCAAAGTTATGTACATCTGTACATGTAAGCCTATAGATTATGTTTAAAGATAAACTCGAGTTCTGGTAATGCGATTGCATTGTGAAAGAAAAGGTGTGGAATGGATCAGAAAAGTTGATCATATAGCATGTAAGTAATGGTGTGTAATGCAAGGTTCTGGAGTCATCAAAATCATCATAAATTTGGCAGAGTCTTGGTAAAGTAACAATCACTTACACAGAAAGATGTATATGGGACAAAACACATGGTGTCGTGGCTAGTACTACCCTGATTTCCTTATCTTTCTATGCTCATTACTCAGCCAGTATACATTTTCTTTCAAAATTGTTTGGCACATGACATTTATTTGTAATCTTGAACATTTGATTCAGTGTAAGTTTCGTTAGATTCTGTAAGAATTCATTTTCTTTTTTTTACCAGAACTCAAGTTTATGCTTAATTGATTGGCTATACTCTAGCAAACCGAAGGACCGACTTAATTAAGCTGTATATTGCTTTCATATTTTTCTTGGAGACTTTCATCCCCAACATGTACATGTAATGTATACATGCATGTAACTCATGTTTCTCCACGACATACACGTAGCCTAGATTATTAGTTGCATCCTGCAAAACACACATTTAATATATAGTGTGGGACCAGGCTATTCTATTCAAGTAGAAATCAACTGTATCTACCAGTATGTTCCATTGCATAGTCTATAAAAAGCAGACTTGGTTAAAGTATATAAGGAAATGGTGGTGAACAAGTCAATAGATATTTTTTTGTTTTTTTATGGGGGGGGGGGGCATTCCTGAGAATCAATATTGTATACTATGCTGTGGAAGCTGGTAGGTTGTCATGTATGTTTACATAGAGATTAAGCAGTCTGTAGGATGAGAAGAGTGCACTAAACTCCATTAGAGTCTATTTATAGACTACATTCCCACTAGTCTGAGCTGAGTGCATTCAGATAGACAGGGTGGTAGGCCTATTGGTATGATAATGCATTCCAGTGTATCTGCTGGTGTATGTGTATACTACGTGTAGGACAGTGGTGGGCGTGTGTGCTTGTGTCTTTCTATGGGATCTTTTCGGCACATGTGGTTAGGCCTGGTAAGAAATTACTTTGCATTATTTGTTATCATACATACATGTATTCATATAAAGAATGTTTTGACAGACCTACCTGGTTTGCAGATAGTCTGTAATTTCACAATTTGTGTGCATTTGTGAAAACAGACTTAATAGTGAGTAAATGTTTAGTGCAGAACAACATGTTAGAATGTAACTGTAAGCATGACACTGCATTTGTAATGCTTGACCTACATGTAAGTGTTCAGTGCACACTATGTACATGTATGTATGAGAATGCATGAAGTGCAAAATATAACATGTTTTGCAGTATTTATTGAGATCTACATGTACCTGCACAAGCCAATAGATATACTTGTAGGCCTACATATTTTGATATGTCTTCAAAAATGATAAATTGTGTTTGTACAAAGTAGTCCGACATGTACATGTAAGGTTGTATGTTAGCTTTGAAGAATTGTAGTTTGGAGTAGGAGCTAGCAGTACTAGTTCAAGAAATGCTACACCATTTGTTAACAATTCTGTAAATAGAAATTATGCATGCCATGTATCATCATTGTGGAGAAAATATTTGTAACACAAGTTTAAAACATATTAAATGTTTTCACGTCCTGACTGAAGTGTAGTAAAAGTCAACATGATTTAGCAGTAGGTCTACATGCTCAATTTCGCACTTCATAGATTTTTGAGCGATTAATCATCAATTTAAGTGATCAGGATACATGGTTGCTATTTTGAGAGAGAAAACAAAACCAAAGTATTTGCTATTTTTGTTGATTTATGATTGAGTAGTTGTATGCAGAGGGTTTACATGTATATTACTCATTTCCAAATCTGGTACTTGAAGAAGAAAAAAGTAGAATACTTTGAAAGTAGAGAGAGAAACAAAATATGCTACATTGAAAAATGTGAAATGTAATGAAAGACTTAGGAAAATCTTAACGATTGATATACCATTGTTTACAAGTATGACAATCGGTTGGAGGTAATGTGGCATTCCTTGTGGGGATACCTACATTGTACTTTGGAGCAGAGTGTGATTGAGCTCTGCAGTATTCTAAAAGCTTTGGAATTACATAATGGAAGAAATGATACATCGCCATTGAAATTTTCGCACTTTCAAAAATTGAAGAAAAAAGAAAGAAAAATAATTACAATTACAGTGTATTACCAAAAATATGTTACACTTTTTGGATGCTGTATTTTTTAATTAAAAAAAATAAAAATGATACCTTATCATCGAAAATAAAATAAAACAAAGAGTATCTTTAAAATTGTCCAGATAACTTGCTTTTTATCTGTTTTGAGCTAGAATGGTGTTAACACATATTAAACTGTGACGGTTGAGACAGAGTTAATGCCCTCCAAGCTCCAAACAGATGATGTACATATGAGAACAAAAAATGAGAATAAATTGCAGAGAAAAATTGAAATTCAACAGTAATAGTTGAAATGGGATTTATACAAATTCAAGTGAAATTATGTATTCCACATGCTCAAGATTAACAGAATCCATGGAAAGACAAGAACAGCATAACATGTGATTGTTTGATAGGTAATCTAGAAATTGGAAATGAATAAATGTACATGAGTAATGATGTTATGTGTAGACTGCTGCATCATGGTAGAACATTACATGTAAATTAATGTGTAGGCTGATATGTTTTTTCTTCATAAGACCTGTTTCCATTGTCAGTCACATCCTGTAACAATGATTCATCCCGAGAGAGAGAGAGGAGTCGAAATAATGAGGCTGAGCTGACAATAATATACTTCCAAGGCCCTACTTCATGTCACATACACTAGTGTGGTGTACATACATACATGTAGTTGATGGAAGATGCAAAATATATGATCATATGTGAAGTGCAGCTTATTCCTGTTTTGAAGATGCCCCTTCCCTGTAGCAGTTTCTTTCACATTTGGTTTTATGAGCCTATTTTTCATACCATATTTCTTGACCCTTTCCTCTTGAATTTCCCACACAGTATATTTACACGCATTCCATGAAAGGAGCTACATGTACGCACCAAAATGAGTCTAATCATTTGGAAAACCACAAAAATACATATATACATGTAGATGTATATGTATGATCATATGTGAGGTGCACATCCTCTAACAATGGTTTATCATACAAAGAGAAATTCAAGTATGCTTCAATTGAATGGAATTACAACATGCAACCTGTAATTAGTAACTGGTTACTCTGTACATTTTGTAGCTTGTGAATGTGAATGTGATACTCTACATGAAGATAATATGAAAAGAAAAATATCTTGTTTCATAGGGTTTTTACTATAAAATCATAAAGAGAGAAATATTGGCTTTTTTCTCTTCTTCAATGATTGTCGTGTACATTGATATTGTGTAAGTACATGTACATAAATTTGTCATATCCTGCATGTTACTGAAATATATTTACTTTAATAATCGTTCCTACAGGTATCAATATTATTTCAGTTTTCATATCCTGTTGTGCATTTGCTAATATGAAAGTGGGAACTGAAATCAATTGAGATTTTAAAGAAACATGTTGAGAGAGAAACACCAGCAACCGTAATGTACTGTACATTGCATCATTCATGGAGTTGGTTGGGTTTAAAAGGCATTGATCAGGTTTAGTATGCATAGAAGTGAGGGGGGGGGGGGCATGTCCGGCTTTGAGCGCACCCTATTGTTCTTATTCAGAGATATTCCTGTGCTTCAAGATTTATTCACCCAGTGCATTTATGTGATGAAAAATTATGATAATGTCTTCTCTCCTTAGCCCTTTTTTCAGTAGTGTAATCTTTCTTTTCTTATTGCTTTTTTTCTTCTTCTGTATCATACAGGGTGTTACAAAAAAGACTACCTTGAATCCCAATGCTAAGGCATTCCAGAGTCCCAAGACTCCAACAGGCTCGGTGAATTCAGATACAGGTGACGGTTCACAGGACTGGGCAGACCATGATAGTGGAATCTCAGTTGCCTCCTCTCCCCAGGTAGCAATGAAATCACAGGGTAAGTCAAGATCAAATATATGCAGTTGTACTTGTTGACAGATTTGTTATCATCATTATCATCATCATTTTATTATCATCATCACATTATATCATCATCATCATCATCACCACAATCATCATCATTTCTAAGCTTGAGCCATAACAGCTGAAGAAAAAAAAATCATTCTTGGGTCTATTAAAAAAAAAACAATGCAGATATGTAGCAGTTGGATTTAAAACCATGCAATAATCTCCATGGTTGGCATGTTTAAAACAATGCATAATTTAAACGCATAATTGAACAGGTTTTAAATCGCATATTTTTTTAAACAATAAAAAAAATTATTAGAACACCTGTAGACATGTGTGTTTTAAATTTTGAAATGCTATATTTTTTTCAAAATGCACCCTCAAACTTCTGATTTATTTTCAAATATTGGTAAGAATGACACAACAATATTTCTTTGTGTTATGTAATTTTAGCATGTTAAGTCACAGTTTCGATATAATACATGTACCTTGATCAGTGTATGTGCATGCCCCAAGCTTTTAGGCAAGCTAAGTACATGTACTTTTGAATCGATGCCTAAATTAAAATTTAAAAAGGAGCATTTGGGCATGATCAAATGGGTGAGAGGGGGGGGGGGGGGGGGAATACAGCCCTTTGGGCTTACCAAGATACGATTTGTTCTCAATTTCGTACCTTATATCCGTGAGTTGAATTTAGTGTAGCAAGCAAAAAAAATAATTAGTAAACCTTAAATTATAAAAAAAACAATTTGTTACTATGCATGCATAAAACTTGTACTGGAATACATAATGTGAGAGGCTTTGTACGTTTAAATTTGTAAGGGAAACAATGAAGATTATCAACATGTAAAGGTAATATCATTATAAAAGTATGTCCTTTGTATTAGAAGAAAAAGGCAGCCATTACTGGTCTATCCAGGAGTTTTCAAATTATCTTGTTATCAAGTAGCCCATGCAGTACTTGGCTGTTGACATGCGTGTAAAACAGTTAATGTCAAGTCTAAATTTAGCCAAACCTGCTTCAAATTTAGGTTTTGATAGCAGCCTCCTCCCCCCCCCCCAATCTTCCATTAAACCAAGACAGGAAGTTCAGTAGGCTCTTGCATAATTCATAATAATACTTATCTATTTTTGGAATGTATGACATTTGTTTTTGTGCATGATGCCCTTGCACTCTTCGGTCCGGGAAGACAACGGTAACAAACAAAATGGGAAGAGGAATAGGGAAATAAAAGGAGAATGAGAGATTTTGATAGCGCAAAGTGTGGAGGGGAAGAGGGCCGTGTTTACAGAGTCCAGATGGAAGAAGCCTGTCAACCAATGCTGATGACGTAGATGGTAATAGGTAGGAGAATAGAGTGAAGTAAACATGTAGCGCTCACATCCATGCTATTCTTAGATCATCGTCTAGGAGATGGAGAGAGAGAGAGAGAGAGGCAGACGAGATAGAGGGTAGAGATGGGGGTAGACACAGAGAGAATTATAAACATGTAAAGAGAGGGAGAGAGTAAAAGAGAGAGAGAGAGAGAGAGAGAGCAAGTTTGCAAGCATAGAGGGGCAGCAAAAAGAGGAGATACCGTAGTGCAAATGAAGGAGGAGGGGGGGGGGGGGGGGGGGGGAGTGGTGGTGGTGGACATACATAGGAAGTTTGTTGATGGCTTGAGGAAAGCAAAATATAAAATTTGATTGATTTAGAGGTAGATAATGTTTGATAGATAGAAATAGTGGAGACTACATCACAGGTATCTCTTTAATGAGCAGTGAGCAGAGAAAACATGCCGATAGTCCTATCATTTCTCATAAAAAAAAAGAAATTTACAAATGTGTTTCAAGAAGCCTGCTAGTCATGCAAAAAAATCCATAAAGATTTGTTTTGGGGCTGTCATCAGAGTGTCACATTAGTCAATGGTTATAATGAGTGACTATTTTTATGCCTCTGCCACCGAAGGTGGTGCCGGAGGCATCATGTTTTCGGGTTGTCCGTCCGTACGTCCGTCCCGTTTGACCGTTATCACAATATCTCAAGAACCAATTAAGATTTAAACTTAAGACTCGGGAATAGTATTTATCACCATAGGAAGACGATCTGATTAGATTTTGGAGTACGTAGGTCAAAGGTCACAGGTCACAGAGGTCAACTTATGAAATTCCTTGTATTGAGTTTGTTAGCGCGATATCTCAAGAACCATTTGAGATTTAAACTTCAAACTTAAGGATAGTATGTATCACCATAGGAAGACGATCTGATTAGATTTTGGAGCACGTATGTCGAAGGTCAAGGGTCACAGAGGTCAACTTATGAAATTCCATACATTGAGATTGTTATCATGATATCTCAAGAACCACTGGAGATTTAAACTTCAAACTTAGTGATAGTGTGTATCACTATAGGAAAACAATCTGATTACATTTTGGAGCACGTAGGTCAAAGGTCAAGGGTCATAGAGGTCAACTTATGAAATTCCATACATTGAGATTGTTATCATGATATCTCAAGAACCACTGGAGATGTAAAAACTTCAAACTTAAGGATAGTATGTATCACTATAGGAAGACAATCTGATTAGATTTTGGAGCACGTAGGTCAAAGGTCAAGGGTCACAGAGGTCAACTTATGAAATTCCATACATTGAGATTGTTATCATATCTCAAGAACCACTGGAGATTTAAACTTCAAACTTAATGATAGTGTGTATCACCATAGGAAGACAATCTGATTAGATTTTGGAGCACGTAGGTCAAAGGTCAAGGGTCACAGAGGTCAACTTATGAAATTCCATACATTGAGATCGTTATCGCGATATCTCAAGAACCACTGGAGAATTTTCACTTCAAACTTAATGATAGTATGTATCACCATATCATAATATCTCAAGAACCACTGGAGATTTAAACTTCAAACTTAATGATAGTGTGTATCACCATAGGAAGACAATCTGATTAGATCTTGGAGCACGTAGGTCAAAGGTCAAGGGTCACAGAGGTCAACTTATGAAATTCCATACATTGAGATTGTTATCATGATATCTCAAGAACCACTGGAGATTTAAACTCCAAACTTGTTTAAATTGCTCTATGGCGGAGGCATCATTTTTCGACTGCGCGCAGTCAAAATTCCATCTAGTTTTTAAATGTTATTAAATATATGATGCCTAATATAAATGGAATCGGACTCATGCTGTACATGCTGTCATGCTGTACAGTTTATACTGGATACTGGATGATGTGCATGACAAAATATAAAGGGAAAAAAAAGTTTTTATAATTTGATTCTTTTATCACTCTATAATTACCATCTATAAAACTATATAATCATATATTAAAGGGTTAGTTAAAAGGAAATACATGTAAGATAGGGAAAATTAGGAAAAAAAATATAGCTTGATAAAAAATTGTGTTCATCAATTTAGTTCAATTACACATTATTTGTATTCGAAGTGGCAGGGGTTGTCAAGCTGTTCCGTGCTTGTTAACTCGTACAACATTTCGTAAATCAAAATGGAATCTTCTCATTCTCAGGTTTTGCTCTCTATTGCGGAACTTGAATTATAGCATTCCCACATTTTCAAGATTAACAGAATCCATGGAAAGACAAGGAAAGCGTGACATGTGACTGTTTGATAGGTAATCTAGAAATTGGAAATGAATAAATATTTAAGAGATAGTAAAAAGAATATTGCAAAACTCTCATCACTATATGGAGTGCCTTTGCAGTATGACAAAGATATTACCACAGTGTCATTGAGGAAGTATATAGGTCCAGTGATTAAACTTTATTTGTCTATTTTCAATTAAATGGCTCGCAAGTATTCAATAAACCATCAAATGCTGGGATATATTTAGCTTAAAAAGCTCAAAATGAGGCTGCTGGGCTCTTTCTTTCTCACCCTCCTCAGTCCTTTTTTTCTCCTTTCCTTATTCCTCCTTTTAAAAATTCCCTGTTCTCTTCTGTATCTCTTCTCTATCTCTTCTCTACCTTGTCTTCTTCTTTTCCTTCTCTTTCTCGACTCATATTTCTCTTTTTTATGCCTCCGCCACCAAAGGTGGTGCCGGAGGCATCATGTTTTCGGGTTGTCCGTCCGTACGTCCGTCCCGTTTGACCGTTATCACAACATCTCAAGAACCATTTAAGATTTAAACTTAAGACTCGGGAATAGTATTTATCACCATAGGAAGACGATCTGATTAGATTTTGGAGTACGTAGGTCAAAGGTCACAGGTCACAGAGGTCAACTTATGAAATTCCTTGTTTTGAGTTTGTTAGCGCGATATCTCAAGAACCATTTGAGATTTAAACTTCAAACTTAAGGATAGTATGTATCACCATAGGAAGACGATCTGATTAGATTTTGGAGCACGTATGTCAAAGGTCGAGGGTCACAGAGGTCAACTTATGAAATTCCATACATTGAGATTGTTATCATGATATCTCAAGAACCACTGGAGATTTAAACTTCAAACTTAGTGATAGTATGTATCACTATAGGAAAACAATCTGATTACATTTTGGAGCACGTAGGTCAAAGGTCAAGGGTCATAGAGGTCAACTTATGAAATTCCATACATTGAGATTGTTATCATGATATCTCAAGAACCACTGGAGATGTAAAAACTTCAAACTTAAGGATAGTATGTATCACCATAGGAAGACGTTCTGATTAGATTTTGGAGCACGTAGGTCAAAGGTCAAGGGTCACAGAGGTCAAGTTATGAAATTCCATACATTGAGATTGTTATCATAATATCTCAAGAACCACTGGAGATTTAAACTTCAAACTTAATGATAGTGTGTATCACCATAGGAAGACAATCTGATTAGATTTTGGAGCACGTAGGTCAAAGGTCAAGGGTCACAGAGGTCAACTTATGAAATTCCATACATTGAGATCGTTATCGCGATATCTCAAGAACCACTGGAGAATTTTCACTTCAAACTTAATGATAGTATGTATCACCATATCATAATATCTCAAGAACCACTGGAGATTTAAACTTCAAACTTAATGATAGTGTGTATCACCATAGGAAGACAATCTGATTAGATTTTGGAGCACGTAGGTCAAAGGTCAAGGGTCACAGAGGTCAACTTATGAAATTCCATACATTGAGATTGTTATCATGATATCTCAAGAACCACTGGAGATTTAAACTCCAAACTTGTTTAAATTGCTCTATGGCGGAGGCATCATTTTCGACTGCGCGCAGTCAAAATTCCATCTAGTTTCTTTCTCTCTTTCTCTTTATTTTTCCCTCCATGCTCTTTTTCATTGTACCTTCTCCCTTTCCCATCTTCTCCCTCTTCCATCTTTTCCCTCTCTATTCTCTCTATTCTATCTTTATTCCCCTCCCTCCTTTCACCCTCCCCATTCTCCTCTCTCCATTCTCCTCTCTCCATTCTCCTCTCTCCATTCTCCTCTCTCCATTCTCCTCTCTCCATTCTCCCCTCGACTCTCTCCATTCTCCTCCCTCCATTCTCCTCTCTCCATTCTCCTCTTCTCCATTCTCTTCTTCTCCATTCTCCTCTTCTCCATTCTCCTCTTCTCCATTCTCTCTCTCCATTCTCCTTTCTCCATTCTCCTTTCTCCATTCTCCTCTCTCCATTCTCCTCTTCTCCATTCTCCTCTTCTCCATTCTCCTCTTCTCCATTCTCCTCTTCTCCATTCTCTCTCTCCATTCTCATCTCTCCATTCTCCTCTTCTCCATTCTCCTCTTCTCCATTCTCCTCTTCTCCATTTTCCTCTTCTCCATTCTCCTCTTCTCCATTCTTCTCTTCTCCATTCTCTCTCTCCATTCTCATCTCTCCATTCTCTCTCTCCATTCTCTCTCTCCATTCTCATCTCTCCATTCTCCTCTTCTCCATTCTCCTCTTCTCCATTCTCCTCTTCTCCATTCTCCTCTTCTCCGTTATCCTCTTCTCCATTCTCCTCTTCTCCATTCTCTCTCTCCATTCTCATCTCTCCATTCTCATCTCTCCATTCTCCTCTCTCCATTCTCCTCTTCTCCATTCTCCATTCTCCATTCTCTTCTCCATTCTCCTCTTCTCCATTCTCCTCTTCTCCATTCTCCTCTTCTCTATTCTCTTCTTCTCCATTCTCTCTCTCCATTCTCATCTCTCCATTCTCCTCTTCTCCATTCTCCTCTTCTCCATTCTCTCCTTCCATTCTCATCTCTCCATTCTCCTCTTCTCCATTCTCCTCTTCTCCATTCTCTCTCTCCATTCTCATCTCTCCATTCTTTTCTCTCCTCTCTCTTCTCCTTTCCTGTCCTTTCCTTTCCTCTCTCTTCTCTCTTCTCTCCTTTCCTCTTGCTCCGTTCTCCTCTCATTTCTCTTCTCTCATTTCTTCTCCATTCTCCCCCTCTCTCTCTCATTTCTCCTCTCTCATTTCTCCTCTCTCATTTCTTCTCTCTCCATTCTCATCCTTCTCCATTCTCATCTCTCCATTCTCCTCTCTCCATTCTTTCTTTCTCTCTCTCTCTCTCTCTCTCTCTCTCTTCTTTCCTCTCCTCTCCTCTCTTCTCTTCATTCTCCTCTCTCATTTCTCTTCTCTCATTTCTTCTACATTCCCCTCTCTCCATTCTCCTATCTCCATTCTCTATCATTTCTTCTCTCTCCATTATCATCTCTCTCCATTCTCATTTCTCCATTCTTTTCTCTCCATTCTCCTCTCTCTCTCTTTCTCACTTCTCTTTGCCATGTGACAACCTGCTACTGTGTGTGGTTCCACAACATTGTCATTTTAATAACACTTTATTTTCCCTCGGTACTTATCATTTGCTGCATGGTCAGTTTCGGTCCACAACCTCTTTAATTACATCTTCATCGTAAGAGTTAGTAGTGCCGTTGATATTGACAAGCCTTGTAGTCGTGATGGTGCTCCAGCCTTGGCTTTACATATTCTGGTTGATGTGCACCACAAACTGCTATGACGTCAGCAGAATAAACAGGAAGTGTCCCCTAGCTTTGGCCAAGACAGGGCTCAATGAGTCAAAATTTCATTTGCAAAATTGCCGGATTAATATTTGTTGAGGAGTGTACAGGTTACTTGGAAGTAGTTTGTGATGTCATGGTTAGATTTTGGATATTGATATTATAAGGGGAAGTATTTGCCATGCCTAAAACTATAATTGATGCAAGTTGTAATACCACCCCCTCAGTACATCTACATAATAGAGTGTGTATAGAGAGTTGAATGATTAGTATTTTAGTAATACTTAAATTGGTCTTATTCATTAATGGCACAAATATACTGCATTAGAAATAGATTCAAAAGTATTCATAATTTTTGTTCATGTACATATATAATGTGCAACTCCTTGCATTCTGTACGGCTATGGGTACGGCTATGCAGGTCATGCATTGAAAAATGAGATATTTATTTAGAAATGAAACTGTTCATTCAGTTACAGAATTATGGTAGTTTTACAAAATTGAGAGATGGAAACTGAACATTCCATAAATTAGTGGACCCACACTACCCACATGGCATATGCTTAAACCTTGAATAAAATTAGTATGAATACTAGCCAATGAGTTTCATATTACATGTACATGCAAGTAAGGTGTTTATTTTTCTTTGAATTACTTGTTTGATTCAAAACCTGTTCTAGTTTTACAATTGAAAGATTTTTATTCAAAAATTGTGTCTTCTAAGCAGTTTTCAATTGATCTTTTTAAAAGAGCTTTTAAAGGTACTTAGTAACATTGTGATGGTTGATTTCACAAATCTGTTGAATCAGGATGCAAAACACGTAAAATTATGTGTCTATGTATGGATTATCCAACTACGATGCCCCAAATCCGAAATTAATTCATGCAATATGAAGATTTTTAACAAAGTTCAACTGGTTTTTGAACGGGCGTTGATGGGAGGCGCTTCTGAATCTAAATTCTCCCAACCATTTTTGAATTTTCCCAACCGTTTTTTCCATGAAAAAAAGACATAAAAACAGGCTATAAAATATCTGTCAACACTTAAATGTCCGGAATGGAATGTAGAGCCATTTTATTGCTTTGTGAGATTTCCATTCACCTAAAATGTAATTAAATTGCAATAATATAGTTGGGAGAATTAAGGAATCGATCGGATCAGTTTTTCCCAATTTGTACCATGAATAATGGTCTGTTTTCGCTCAAATTTTCAGATTATCTTAAATTGTACATCTAGCATTGAAGTCACTACCTTAGCACCACTATCTCTCATCTGAACAATGTTACAAAGTCCTTATAAAGCTCCTGCAAAACTGTCAGGAATGAAATCTCTCTGAACTCCCTTGTTTTTATTTCACTCATATACATGTATGTCTTTTTGTTCAATCCCATGATATCTGCTCCATAAATCATTTGTAAAGAAGTGTGTTGTCTATTTAAAACTTTAATTTATGTAAGTAAGCTTTTTTTGTCTTACACCAACATATTAAACTTCCTTAATGTGCATATGATGCCAGACTGTATTGTGTTACCTGTGTGTTTGCAAGTGCTAACCCTAACGCCTGTTTCCCTTGTTTTTTCTTCTCTCTTCCATCCCCTTCTCTGTTGCCCCCATTAGGACCCACTGGTGCCTTCCAGATGAACGGTGACATGGGCAAGTACACAGCAGTTGGTTACCCACCCACCCCTGAATCCCCCGTCTTTCCCCTCGCCAATGGACACTTATTTGGGCCTGAGTTCCCCTACCTTCCCGATGGCCAAATTGTTACTGGTAAGTGGCGTGACCCCCCTCCCCCTCGTAATGTAAGTCTGTGCATGCATGATACCCCCATCGTATGGTATGCCCTCATCCTAAGTCTCTTTTTGTTTTGTCTGGAGTGGTTGTGATTAGTCTGACCCATGTCTGAGGCAGTGTTAACGAGACTCTGATAAGTGTTCAAGATGGGGCCATGTATCATCATCCTTGTCAAGATGAGGCGAAGACGGGACTCTCATTATCCCTTTCTCAGGCTGGCATCTACAGTTCTCCTTCTAATGTCTTGCCATTATCATTCATTCATTCTCAAGATATGTTAAACCACAAGTTTATGACTGCCGTTGTCTCCATGTTCGCATCCTTTGCTTTTTATCATCAGTGTCTGGCCTGACGTCAGAACTTTCACTCTTTTCTCTCTCTCAGACTGGTATTGGTACATTTTGAAATGATACCAGAAGAGAAACTCAGAAATCAGATAAGGTCGTGATCAAGGAGGCTCTATGTTTTACCAGTTAAATATTGACGTCATTTGGAAATAATCCCTTCTGATGTCTGCTTGTGACTGCCATTGGGTGGATAGTTAATGATAGTAATGATTTCAGATTAATGCCATTGATAACATTGGTGTGCACAATGGGCCCCATGTGCACATTTGTTTGATTCCTTTTCCCATTTTGAAAGAAAAAATGTTGAAGAGGAATTGGAGTTGAATCTAGAAATTACATGGGTGATCATTTCATACTTTATTTGTAAACCTGCTTGTAGATTGTCACACTCATCTATAAGTGACCCAGACTTGCACAACGTTGCCTACTTGGACAATTAAATCCACATTAGGTGAGACACTCTTTTTAATTGAAGATTGTCAACAGAGCAAGGTCTCATTCAGATATGATGAGGTGAACCTTGTACATGAATAGCAACTGCGTGCAGCAAAGGTCCTAACCGTATTCTCTCAACTCTGTTTTAAAAGATACAGCAATGCGAAGCTTATTACACTTAACGCTATCCAAAATAAAAAAAGGTACACGATACACATATTTGATACAACAGATATATACACCTGTTGATTTCTTGGCTTGAGCCCGACATTTTCTGCACTTAATTGATCTGATTAGAATGGAGGGTTAATTGATGGAGAGATAGTGATACTAATTAAAAGATACATGTGTGAGCGTGCCTCGCAATCTGACATCGCACATTGGTGAGAAAGCTTTTGTGGTTGCAGAAAGAGGAATAACAAACAGCCACTCTGATTTAGTACAAGCTAATTGAAGATTGGAATTAAAGAGCTGACAATCTCCCTTAGGATAGTACTAGTACTCTCCTGTGCTGTCTAAACACATTGACAACTTGAATTGATGTGCCAAGGTATTGCTTCCTGGAAATGATACTAAGTCATGTTTTTACAGGCAATGAAGCAGATGATTTGTTCTCAACTTCTTTAATGGTATATCCTCAAGTTTGTTTGAATGTGTCAATATTCTTGTTCTTGTCAATGAAAAATAATTGCCCCCCCCCCTCGAATTAATTCTGATATTATTAAAGACTCGATTGATAGTCACCCTGAATACGTATATGAGGTGTTCAAATGGGTTAAGTTTAAAGAGCATACGGGTGAAAATTATTTCATTATCAAGGCTCATACAGAAGCTTACTCAAAATCAACTCCCACGTTTGTTCGTTTAATTATTTACTTAAACATTACTTTGACCTTTATGAGACTTACAAGTTAATTTAATTTTCTTTTGAAGAGTGTATTTACCCACTCTACATCTCTCTTTACAGAGTGTTTAAAGTCTGCTCTACATATCGGTCATGAGGTTTACATAATAATAATAATAATTAATTTTTATATAGTGCTTAATGCAAATGTCTCTAAGCGCTTTACAAATATACTATTACCCCGGTCATTGGATTCAGTGCTTGCCCGCACATGCTGTGTGCACAATCTCCACTTTCTGGGGAGCATAAAAGAAGGGTGAGCAATGAAAGAAAAGAGGTCTTAAGAAACAACTGAAGCACAACACAAACTGCAATTGCATGAATATTTGAAGGAGAATGAAACCCAACAAATGATTAGCTGATAATCCTAATCAATTTGATTATTTAGCAAGAAAAGCAATATATGCAAAGTTTGAAGTTCCTTGCCAGCCATTCTTCCATAGTCCAGACATTTTGATTGAAATAGTATTTCAGAGTAGTAAAACTTGTGAGATACCCACTGACTTGTATTTCAGTTAAAATTTAGGACATTCACCTGTGAAATGCAGCCATAACAATGGTTTCTTAATATACCATTTTGGTAATGCATTCAGGTGAATAGCTATTCTTTCATCAAACACTTTGACAAGATATTTAGTTTAGGTGATTGGAATAGTTGAGCAGTAGTTTCTTTTGTCTGCAACATTTGAAATGCAAGAGTTATTGTTTGGTAACTGCACTATTCAAAAGAGTGACACAGACATACTAGAATTGCTCACAGAAATCACCTGTTTGAGATGTAGGGGTAATGAGATGGCTGCTGTATTGCATCAATGGCACTGGTTGGACAGTATTTTAATCAAGATGGCGACTCCCGTTGGAGAATAGCTGACATGGAAACAGTAAACTGTGGAGTGATTGTTTTCCTTGTTCACTAATTTGACAGGAGTAGTTTTAAGACTTTTTGACTGGCCAACAATTTTGAATAAGATTATCGACCAATGTTTGTTGGCTTTCATATTTGAGAGAAAAACATTTTGTTTTTTTTAACCTAGGCAATGAATAGTACCTGAATGTCTTGAAGAAGGGGATAGTACACTATGCTATGATAGTGACCTTTTTGTTTTCGAACTCCAACTCCATGTACAAATGTCATTGATTCGCTTCAGTCAATGCATCACTGATTGCTTAATAAGAGTGTTTGCAGCATTTTCATTGGTTTGTTGTGCATGACATTATCGAAATCTACCATGATGTCCTTATGTTGGCTTCAAATGTCAAAGATACACCCACAGATCACGGAACATGTTTACTGAACCTCAAGATGTTTACATGTGTACACCTTGAAAAAAGACCAAATCAGATAATTCTATTTTATTTATATATGAAAAATTATATACCTGTAGCTTGTTTCAGTATTATTAAATTAGAGGAAAAATAGGGTTTCTTTTTTAATTGTTGTATGCAGCATTATCGAAATCTACCGTGGTATCCCTTTGTTGGCTTCAAATGTCATAGGTAGCAGGTACACCCACAGATCACAGAACATGTTAATCACTTAACTTAACCTCAAAATTGCTTCATACATATATGTACACCTTGGAAAAGGATTAAATTAGGATAATTTTACTTGGTGATAAAAAAAAAAGGTTTTAATAGCTTGATTAAGTGTACTTCAAGTAATTTTACACCCTTATATGAATGAGAATAGGAATAGGTTGTAGAGATTTGTGTGGAGGAGTAATGTAATTAGATCAGAATGGAGGGGGTGTCCTTGCTTTGCTTATAATGCCTTACTTTGTTGGGCTCATAGAAAGAAATAATAGGAATTGCAATTTTGATTTCAAGAAATTGCAGTAGATAGGTGTTTTGCCCTGTATTCTTGGCAGCCAGATTTATTTTTAATTCTTGACACTTGTGATATTGCATCGCCTATGGCATACATGTAGATCCTTGAAATCTGATGCACCTGTTTATAACCTCCTTGCAAGGTATTGAATACTTTAAAGAGCACTCTTACTGCGGTCACATAACATTGTCCTGATTGCCTGGGCTATATATACCTGTCTACTCTAACAAATCAATCATACACTGATTATACATGTCTGTCTTATTCTCCTTACCTCCTCCTCCAGATAGATCGCTCTATACGGGGGAAGAAGAAAAAAAACCGTCCAGTCCCTAAAACACAGACATGTTTTGCTTACAAATTTAGAATTGATTAAATTTCCCCCCTGCAGCGTACTTGTCCAAAAATACCCAACGCTCGCAAACATCAACCTCCCACGCTGCGGCTATCCCTCCCTGCACGTACGAGTGAACCATTTTGGCGACTCATTTGTGCCCCAATTTCCAGCATCAAATGCTCAAGAGGTCGAAAGAGACTGCTGAAGGTGTTACATGTCTCTAGTGTCCATGTTAAAGCAAGTCTGTTTGCTGGGCCACTTTCAAACTGGTTATCAAACATCTTGATATGGTCATTGGCTCATTTAAATTGTGTGATTCTAATTTTCTAAATATTGAAAGTATTCTGGTAATATGAAATTTGTATAGCGTACAATAATTACAATTTAATTCTCCATACATTTGCATTATGAACTTGAAGAGCATAACATAACATAGCATGTAAACATGCAAGAAGAGGCTATTATGTGATGTGATTAAAATACTCCTATGCATAATTTGCATAAGTGAGTCTCTCTAATTAATTGTTTTGACATGGTCTAAACTATTTTGAGTTATCACAGATTATTGGTTTTGTTTTCGGTATTACAGTCATGACATCATTTACCTTACCCTTTCCACTCCTATCCCAACTGGTGATATATACATCTACACTGTACATGTATGTCTTTAGCTGTTCTGCAACAAATTTGCATGTGAATTGTGATTATTTGTGTACAGAGTTCATTGATGTAATTTGCTAAGTAACAAAGGAGAACAAGGTTACAGTCAAGTTCATAAGGAAATTCCCCAGTAACAGATGTGCGTTTTAGATTGTTGTCATCAACATTGCTTTTACAATCCTTTTCAATGCTGTACAAATTAAATAATTTATCATGCAAGTACACAATGTATGAAACAGCAATGTGTGTTTGCTGCAGCTGCTGCTCGTATGTTTGAAGACTTCAATTTCAGTTTCCATTGTAAATCGAGCAAGAACTCTATATTCTATTCAAAAAGTCGTTCTTGAGCTTTCTATCAAAATATTTTTTCTCTCATAACAATTTCCTTCCTTTTTTTTTTTTTCTGAGCAGCCGAGGACATCTCCCAGCAGGAACCCCCCAAAGGAGATGATCTACGCAAACTTCTTCAGAGACAACTAGAGTACTATTTCTCCAGGTAAGTCACCATTTCACTAACAGAGGTTTGAAAAACAACAAAAACATCACAGCCTGCAGAGCATGAATATATCCACTGCATCATTTAAAATGATGTATGTATTGCCCTTTAAAGTGAAATGTTTATTGGGCATGTAATAGGTGTGGGTTAGTACACCCAAGGCACAGAAGAGAATTAATACATTGAGAAGATGGTCTATTTTGCCAGTCAACTATTTCATCCAAATAATGTGAAGGGGAGGGGCTGTTGATGTGCATACATGAACATACCCATATGGTATTTTTTTTAAAGAAAGAAGAAAAGAAGCATAAGTGAGAAATGTCAATGTGCTGATGAGTATAATTAATTTCAAACACCTTCAACAACAACAACAACAATGCTTTCAACAAAAACAACAACAGCAGCAACATGAGCTTGAGAGATACTGTCATACTAAGACTAAATTATATCAGCCTCGAGGGGGAACAAGTGTGATTTTAATGTTATAGTTACCCAGTTTGAAGTGGCATTTTGTGTTAGACTGCTTTAACTCGAGTTTATCCAGATAGCTTAAACAAAGAAAAAGAAACAACAATGTAAAAAACAAAAATGGAACAAAGATTGCTTGATAATTCGTTCTTCTTGGGGGACAGGATTTGAGGGTGCAGTTACTGACTGTGTCTTTGATTTTGAGTGTATTTGCTGGGATTTGTCACTATTGATTCATAAGTTTGTCATCACAGTGTGATTCCGACTGAGGCTTGCTTGAGTCATGGTACTTTGAGTAAGACGACGAGGGAGGAAGTACGTAGAGTCCTTGTGACGCATACGCATGCCGTGTACCCATAGATCTATGTTTACTCCCGATGGCTCTATCTCTGTGTTGCTGCTCAACATTCGTGAAGGCTTCTACTATCAATACAATGGTGTTCTGAGATTTAGAAAATAAAATAAAATATTAATCCTTTTGGAAGTTCTCTGTGGTGATGTTTTTTTATAATTGACTTTAAAAAAAAAAAGTTTACTTGTACTTGTTCGGAAAGTAAAGTAGTAAACTCATTAGACAAATAAGTTAACAAAAAACTAGCTGGATAAAGACTAGAGCTAGGTCCTAAGAAGTCTTTACCAAGAGACAGAAGTTTATGAAATACTCTTAAATTTTGTTTCTAATAAGTCTGTCCCTGATGGTTGGTAGAAGATTCATGCTGCTAGACTAGACTAGATTGGTTAATGCCAGATTTCCCCCTCTATCATTTTAATTAAGGAGAGTAATGTACAGTCATATTGTGGACAGGCATGGCTGGCTGAGATCCCAGTAACATCAAGAATTGTAGAATATGAAATTCAGGTCAGGGCTACTTGATTATTAAGTGAAGTCAGTCAGTCAGGAGACATGGAGCTAGCTAGCTAGCTGCAGGGGCATGCCACTGCAAGTCACTGCAAATATACCAATTTATATGCTGAGTAGAGGAGATGTTAATATTGATTGATTGGTCCAATTAAACCGTGCACGTCTGGAGGTTGACACTCCTCCTTGCCAGCTCATTTTGGGGAAAAAGACTCTCAATTTAGGACAGTCTCATTATCGAGTTTTCATTACCTGAAACCTCCCTCGATTGATAAGAGACATCTTAGGCTTTGACAATTGAGGAAGTTGGACAAAGTGGAGATGTTTTATTCATTACTAACACTATAAGAATTACTACTCCTTTAATGACAGGGTTGTATGACTTGAATGGGGTAGAGGAAGTTAATGTATTTTAAGCTACCTCGTAAAGTTTCTTGTCCATATAAGGCTTGGGCGGTTCTTCTTGTCGACAAAAACCAACTCAGGTTCCGACTCACGGCCTTGATTCCAAGTGGAATCGACTCCCGCTGGATGCCAGATAAATGAGACCACAATGCACTAAGGACCATACACTGTATGTTGATTCCATGTATAGTTGAGTCTGCTCGACTCCCCCGGTTCCGCGTGACGGCACCATATGGTAATGGGGGCAGTGTGCAATCGTCACGATGTTTATCTGAATTTCTTTTCAAGATTTTATTATGAAAAATGATGATTGAAATTCAGTTAACATGGCCAGAACAATCACAATACAAGCTTTGATTTCATACTTCTATTCACAAAAACTATATTGAAATTGTGGCAATTATGACAAAAATAGAAACATGTAGCAATTTCAAAGTTTCAGGTGGTGGTTGCTGGATGTGAATTTTGTATAGCCGAGCTTGGCTGCTCTGCTGGAGTTGGTTCCATGCCGAATTGAGTCTATTTGAACTCCCCGGTTCCAACACGCAAGCGACGGCACTAGCTCTGTCACTGTGAATAGTCTTGGGGCAGCATGCAACTGTCACAATGATTGTCAAAGATTGTCTTGTAAATAGTCTACTTTGAAAATGATCATCAAAATTCAGTTCAATCACAATCCAAGCTTTGATTTGATACCTCTATTTACAAAAAACTACATTACGATTGCGGCTATCATTATGGAAATAGATCACCATTTAGGAGTTTTGTGAAATGGCTGCGGGATGAAAAATTACGTAGGCTTATTGAATGCTTATTATTAAGTAAACCAATCAGGATTGTTGGCTTTACCTTATCAGCATGCCACCATTTGAGAAATGTCAGAATTAGGAATGGCATATGCTATGAATAATGAAGGAACAGGTCTCATAAGGTTACAACCATTTTGTCCTTGCACCCTGGAAAAAAGTCTGATTCTCTTGCTTGAAAGTGTTGATATTTATTCATCCAAGCCTGTTCTCAATTCATGGTTTACTCGTCTCTATTTAAATCAAACTGGTTATTTAGAGAGACCTTTGAATGAGAATATGTCAGAGAATGGGAGGAAATATAACTCCTGCACGATTGGAAGTGCAACCTGTACAATTTTTGAAGGAAGGGCCTTTGACTACGAAGTGCAAGCAATAGCTGACGATACATGTATCAATTTAATTTCTTAAAAATTAATTCAAAAATTTATCAAAATGAATGAAAAATGACATAACTTTTATCATGTTTAGGTGACTTCCCAAATGTTTAATATTTAATATTTTTTTGCAGGCAGTACAGGACATACTACTACTACTAGTACTACTCACAGTCAGTGTGTCTTAATAGCTTGCTAATATAAATAAAAACAAAGTATACATGTAGCTACAATAGAGGCTTGCTACACCTTCCAATGCCATCTATGCAAGGCAGGGGAGGTGGATTTTCCTTGAGGTAATTAAAAAGGGGTTGCCCACTTAAAGAGCCTCATACCTACAGGACATACAGTAAAAATACAATATATTAATCTGTGGAAACAATGATTGTGTTTTTTTAGGAGATTGGTAATCAGTAGAGTATATACTGAAATGGTAAGCGTGAGAATCAGGATATTAATTCATCCATCATATTCACAGTGTGAGTTTTGATTATCTAAAGTGTATTTCATTGTACGCTCCTGCTGAAGTGAAACAATTATGCTAATGGCTACATAGTCTGGTAAACACATTTAAATAAATATAGGAGAAACAATTTGTTGAAGCGATGAGAAACTGAGCCCCTCAAAACTAGTTTCAAGGAAAAAAAATGAACAAATAGGAGAAATAATTTGTTGAAGCGATGAAAAAACTGAGCCCCTCGAAACTAGTTTCAAGGAAAAAAAAATGAACAAAGAAAAATTGATGAGGGGAGAATTTTACTATTAGTGAGTATTACTGTAGAAAAATTAGCTGTTGTGAACAGGAAAATGCAATAGCCTAACCTATCTATAGTCGTTCTCAATTCACTTTTTGAAAGACAGCTGATAACAGTATTGGATTGGGAAGGGTTGAGCATTGGATAAAGGTGGCAGATTAAAGAGCGTAACCATAGGTAATTTAGTCCATGAGATTTTGATTTGGTTTGGAATATTATCTCATATAATCTGCACATGATCAGTAGAGGCTTATGATGTCACCAAAAAGCTTAGGCTGTATTTGTAATTTTTAAGAGACCAAATTAGTCTAGAAAACAAACCGTATATTTGAGAGCAGAAAATTGTCCAAATAAAATCAACACTCGGTTGGAGTTACTCATCGGAATGAATGCCTGTTTTCATGACACTTTAAAAGAATCCAATCTAGCATTTTGTAGAAGAAATGAGCATAATATTTACAGACTGGACTGTTGTGCAAATACATCAAAAGTTTGAATCAATCTAGCAAATAGAAGATGTCCTTGAGACCTACATTTGTAATGCATTTGCTGAAGTGGTATGCGTACTTCTACTCTATGTAATGCACTTGTTATTGGTCGTTGTCAGTGATTATAGGCAATCTTGTATATATTTCTGAGCCATGTTTTTCATAGAAGAATAGATTCTAATCCTGCAAGACTACATATCCATTGACCACACTGTGGGTGTGAACACATAAAGCACCGTTGGACAGTCAGTCAGTTGAGACTGTTTGTGTACACCCAATCTAGATGAGATCAAATGCATTAGGGAGATTGAAAGTGCAGGATTTTGACGTGGGCCGACCCTCTCCCATTCAGAACGCTAGCTATCCGTTGTGAATTAGATGCGGCAGCTTTCCCACTTTACATCTATATGAGAACTGTCTAGAGTGCTGTGCATTAACAAGTATTCAGATGACCTACTAAAGGTCATCTCACACCCACCATTGGCAGACACTTGTAAGAGGCCACTCTAGAAGGTATCAGGAGGAAATGAGTCTATGTCCATATGGAGATAATCCCCATAAATGCACTCTTACAAAAAATTGAAGGAAGACAAAAAAACACAAAAGCATAGATATATCAGGGCATAATTCAAATAGTCACAGTGATTTATTAAACTTGTGTGCCTTTAGGCCTCCTTTTCTACATGTGACCAGGTTCCTTTGTCAATTAAGGGGGGGGGGGGGATATAACGGATTAGCCGCAAAGTTAGACTGCGGAATACATAAAGTTTATGGTAAAATTTTTGCTGTGATATTATGCACTGGAATTTATGAGTCAAATTGGATGGTTCTTGCTTGTAATGCAGTGGGCATAATCTCTGAAAACATATGATGGAAACGTTCATCATGCGCACACTGGGAATCCCCAGGCTGTGCCTTTCTCCACAAGGAAATTACAATATCTAAGTGTGGACAAACAATTTTAGTATTCCCCTGTTGTCAAAATTCAGTTTTTATTTTTGGCCAGTGCTTGAACTTGTATCCTGTCTATATGTGTGCATTTTGCAATGGATCGCTTGCTCCCTGAAGTAAGATACACACATACATACATACACAGGAGCAAACATGTGATCATGGCTATGATTAGAGTAAGCTCAATTTACAAGAGGAGGTCATTGCCAGATCTATCTGCATGCATAGTGATGAACTCTAACTACCCAATGACTCAATATTTACAAACATAACCCCCTCTTCTATAGGGGAAGCAGGGTATTTACAGCTTAGCTCAAGCCTCATGAGCAATGTATTGGGAAACTAAAACTATGTCATATGGAAACAATTTCATTAATTGCCATCATAAAACTTATTCCAAAGCAAACACAATCCTCAAAATAAAACAATAATGAAAATAAAGACCACATGTTCATGCGACTTGATATGCAAAATAAACTTTCCTAAAAAGGAATTGATACTGCTTATTATTTGAGTTATTTTCTTAACCTCAGGAATGACACTTATACCATATTTTCTGTTTTTTTTTTAGACTAGTTGTCTGTTTGGATTTCCCTTAAAAGAAACTGAAACTGATTTCTATTCCTTCTTAAGTTACACACTTAAGGTCTCTGGTACAAATAGAGAGGCAGTGCTACTTAGAGAGAGTTGGATCTGCCGTAGAAATAGCAAGCACGTGACTAGTTGCACTCAGATGACAATTATGCAAGCACGTTTTATTGCACTTAGTTAATCATTTTTTCTTCCTTGTATATTTGATGCATACAGGGAGAACCTGGCAAACGACAGATACCTGCAATCACAGATGGACTCTGACCAGTATGTGACCATCAGAACGATAGCAAACTTCAATGCAGTCAAGAAACTTACCCATGACTTGCAGCTTGTAATCGAAGTACTGAGGGGTGAGTATATAACATATGGAGCACAATATCAATCAGATTCTAATCTTTACTATGCTATCCAAAGGTCGTATGTATGTAATTGTCCATTATACTTCAGAATCATCAGAATTACAGTTTGATATTCAGTCTAAGGTTCAAGAATAAATAAGTACTTAGTACGCCGGTTCGCTTTGGTTAGGCATTCCTTCTCATTTACATACATGTAGTCCCTGTGATAAGATGTAAGGCTATAGCTCTATGGGAGCATTCACACTTGCTTGTGTAGTACTTCAACGCTACAACAAACAATCAATGAAAATTGTTTGGTTTTTGGAGGTAGAGAGTAACAATATAGTGGTGTTAGATTAGATGAACATATCTAATTTCGCAAGTATTTAAAAGCCCATAGGGATGTAACATGTGTGTCATGTGATTTGTGGCACACAAAAAGGGGGATGTTATTAGTACATTATGTTGTTTTTCCACCTCCATGGATATGGAGCATCCTTCTGCTTCCATCATCTAACGGTAAAATCTAAACGAATGAAAAATTCTGATTGAAAAATAATCCCTCCTTTCACAGCATACTCGGGTACATGAAGTGGGAATAGGTATTCTTTGTAAAAATGTAAACATTAGCCAACCCCTAACAAGGTTTCTCCAGTCATTGGGCGAAAAAGTGACATGCACACATTATGATTTATTGCTAGAAATGGTTCTTGATTAACATAAAGTGGAAATTTGTTGATCGTAAAGGCAATTTTAAAGAAACGATTGTTGTCAATTGGACCATATGGTACATAAAGAGCCCAACTGTTCACAACATTGTGTATGCCTGCTGTACATGAAAAAGAATTTAATTCATCGATCATTTTCTTACTTCCTGATCGACTTTACTGTTTTTATTATATCCCCTTGAAATTCTTTTGTTTCCAGTGAACACTAATGGCATATCAAATTATCAAGTTATTGTTCTATCCCCATATGATTGATATCGTCTATAATCACCACGTCAAGTATGCCTCGTTGGTTGCACGTCCCCTTCATACAAGTAAAAACTAGAGTCCTGTGTAAACTAGCCATTCTAGACACTTTGTAGAATTGTGCAATTGGATGCCTTATTAATGAGATGTAAAATGACTCAACGTCTGGTTGTGACCAGGGAGAGTGGAAGAGAGATGGGAGAGTAGGGATGGAGACATGATAATTGGTACAGATAGCGCCCCATCAATTCCTTGAAATAGAAACCATGATGCCAGCCAACCAGCGTTCTTATATTCTTGTGATTTTGTATAGTGGTGGTCATCGCTTGGCTAGAGGTTGTTTGCATTAGTAAAACCTTGTCTGCCAACGCTTGGTTTGTTGGATTTTTAGTCTCATCTTACAAATGATCACAAATGATCTATTCAATCTGAAGAGAAACTAAAATGTTCTCTCTTTTGTCCCCATGCTATATGACCAACCAGTCTGCAACAAATCACAAGACAAGAGTCAATATAATATAAGTGCTCGCTGCTCTAGCAGCCCTACAGGCTAGTCTAGAGGCATAGTACTCTCAATATTTTATCGTTCCATATAGGATGTCTTTTTATCTGGAACAAAGTCTTGCTTTTCTTTGTGTATTTTTTCTTCCATCCTCTTCTGTACATTCATGACTTAGCGTTATCATTAATTATAATTTACCTTGAGAGAAACTAGCAATATGACTTAATTATATCTTCAATTGTTTGTTGTTATACAGACACTTGGGTTGCATTGGCAATTGTACAAGCTTCTAAAAACATAAAATTGACTGTGCAAAGTACTTTAATAATTTAAGATTCTTCAGAGAAAAATTAAAGTTAATCAAGGCCTAAAATAATCAGTTGAATTAAAATTTACCGGTAGATGGGATGGACTTCTTAGCACTGCTGAGAATTTCAGGGGTTCCTCATACAATCTTATTTACTAGTGTACCATAAAGCATGTTAGCATATCATTTATTTGTTCCTTTTCTTGCCTTCAGAATCACCTTTTGTTCAAGTAGATGGAAAAGGAGAGAAGGTGAGACCTAATCACAAACGATGTACTGTCATCCTAAGAGAAGTGCCGGACACAACTCCAATTGAGGTGAGTAACTGTTTACATTAATGGTTTGAAAGGGTTAAGCTTTAAAATTACTCATTTGTAAATTCTGGCAATGAAAGTTGCTAAGTGTGGAAAGACTCTGGAGTTAATGTAAAGTCGTTCAAAAGTGTTACGGAAAAGCATTATGAATACGACTATGCAATATCCCATTTGAAATTTTTGAAAAAGAACATGGCAGATTTAAAGTTTGTTTTTCATATACGCATTGGAAATGGAAAAGATAATTTTTTTTTCTTTCAAACATATCTTGATTGATATTGCCTATGGGAAAGTGAATGAGGGAATAAGAGTTTGGTTGTCAGCGATATAAGGCATTGGATGACAGATTAATGTACAGTTCAACCATTCTCATTCACATGTCACTATTGACAACACCTCAAAAGTCATTGAGCTTTATGAGTATGGGATAGTCTATCATAGTCATATCCGCATTTTCATGTCCCTCTTGATTCTTCTGTCAAGTGGGCAATGGAAATGCTGGTTGGTTCATGTAGATAGAGCTTGACAATATGATAATATTACACTGTACTTGAAATCTATGTATTCTGTAGGAAGTTAATTTCCTGTATACAAGGCTTTCATTTCATTATTTTAATTGAATGATCATAAACGATGTGTTGTTTAACATTTCAGGAATTTTTCCATTCCTCAGTAATGTGTTCCGGAGAAGAAAAAGTTGATCTTAGAAGTAGGATCCCATGTGTTGTAAGACCTTACGGTGTATCTGAAACTTTTTTTATTTAGCACCTTACAATATGGGATCAAGAACATAAAACAAACATTTCACAAGACATTGAGGTAGAATGTATGATTCATTTAAATGCATTAAATTAGATTCCAATCAGTTTTACGTCATATTTCCTGAACTAATTTCCCTATTAGAGGCATAGGTAAAGTGTGATAGTATACATGCGATAAAAAGAGCAGAAGTTAAGTGTTTAATATGATGGAATTTCTGTTTGTGACCTTTTTTTTGCCAGGATGTGAGAGCCCTCTTTACCCACGAGCATTGCCCCAAGTTTGTCAGCTGTGAGTTTGCCCACAACAACAACTGGTACATCACGTTTGAATCCGACTCGGATGCTCAGTTAGCATACAGACATCTACGAGAACGGGTCGGGCACTTCCAGGGAAAACCAATCATGGTAAGTTCGTTCTCATCATCTGTTATGGGTTCCTTCTCCCTTCTGATGTCAAAGACCCTGTCCAACTAATCTGTTATTCGGTACATCTAGGAAGCTTTTCATCTGTTGGGAGTTAGAAGGATGTTACCACACAGAGTTAACATCCTTATGGCTCTCATTAGATGATATGTGGTTGGGGATATCAACAAATAAGAATAGTGTATGTGAAAAATCAAACCATTTAGCTTCATGATGACACCTTATTCACTGCATGTTACCAAACCCTGATATTCTTCTCTAGATGAAATGTGGTAGGCATACTATCATGAAGTTGCCCATTTGCATTGGCAGTTGGTTTGTAAAATTTTATGTAAAGGAGTAATACTTGCAATAATAAACTGATCAATATTAACATTAAGTGCACTCTCCAGAGTAAAAGTGTAGTTTGCTTACAGTAGTTAGTTTATAAAAAAACTGTTGATCATGAATAACAGGTACATGTAATGTAAGCAATAAGAAATATGTCACCTGGGCTGGTCAAAATTTAAATGTGTAACTGATGATATTTATTTACTTTGGTCGTTATCCAAAAGAAAAAACGTTCCACTTGTTATGAGTGCATAAATACTATTTTGTTGCCCTTTACAGGCCAGGATAAAAGCGAAGCCTCTGCAGAGGATCACCTACACGCAGGCAGCACCCAAGGTCCTCAATGGCTACCATATTGCCACAAACAACTTCTCCCAGGCCCAGACAGCAGTATTCCAGCCAACCCAGTTCCAGCAGTACACCACCGCCCCTTCAGCAGCGGCGGCGGCGGCGGCAGCGCAGGCAGTGGCAGCACAGCAGCAACCCCTAAATGGAATCATTCAGCAGCAGCAGTACACCTACTACCCTGCTGCTAATGTACCACCGCAGTGGAGCCAGACGTACTATGAAGCTCCTCAGGCTATGGTAAGTCACCTAGTGGGCAAGGGTTCATGTCACTTGAGATTCTGTAAGGGTGTGAAACTTATGCAGTAGGGCAAAAGTTATCAAAGAGAGTGACCACAATCTTTAATTATTTTGTGTACACATGTATATCAGCACCTCCGACAGCTGAGAAGACCAAGAGCCATACTAGAACTACATTCCCATTTAATAATGCAAAGTGTTATACTGTTTTGATTTATATTTTGATAACATCATAAAACCTTAGAGTCTACTCCTTTTATATGCGGATGTGTTCTTGTGTCTTTGTACCGTCGACACTTCTCCTGGGTGCATTTACAATCCTTGCTACTTGAACGTACTGTAAATGTGATGTCGCAGAAACTGAGTAGATAGAGATTTGTGTCTTTCATCATGAAGTGACATTTCCCTTCAATGTATTTCAGTAAGCACTAATGAGTTCCCTGTCAGCAACTTATCTTTTCACTTCCCAATTTGTTCTGATCTTGTACTGGTAATGGCCTGTATTAGAGCTGGATTAGGCTTCCAAATGGGTTACTAGAATGTGAGTTCTGCTTCAGAATATAATGACAAAATAGAGAAATAATGAGAAATAAAAAGAGAGTCAAAAGTTCAATTATTTGCTGTAAGGCTTCATTAGGATTAAATCAGGTTATATTAGGTGAATAAGACAAATGAACCCTATCAAGGGTTTGCAATTACATAATAATTAGTGAAAGGACTTCTGCACAGTATTATTTTAGGAGACAGCAGACAATGAAGCCTCTTAAAACACATTGTAACTGAGCAAGTATCCAGGATATTTTTTTTTAAGGGGAAAATTAGAGCATGTAGCCTCCAACACTAATATATAAGCATAGGGATGTGCATCATATTGTGTGTTTGAAATGTCACATCATGCTAGAATGGAGTCTCAAGGTTAGGAGACCCTGTGCTCTCAGATTAGACAATGATCTCCGTCTCAATCTAGATTACCCCTGGTGAGGATGACTCGCTCGCTAGTCATGACTGACAGTCACACACAAGTAGATAAAAGAGAGGAAAACGATTTGTAAACTAGTTATTTCTGGCTGGTGACAAGTTTGATCACTCATGGTTTATGTATCCATGTGATTACTAAGGTTCTCCTGTATAACGATGTTATCAAAACGGCTCAAACCACTTCTCATTGACATATTGTTATTGTCTGGAGAAAACTGAATTGATGCGAGGAGAGAATAAACATGGTATATTGAGAGTTGTCAAACACTACTGATTTTCAGTCTTGTACTAAAATTGAAAAAAGTACAATTGATTTCATGCAAAATGCTGATTTTTACTGTTCAGTTTCTATCTTGTTTCTATTGTATTTATTAGATAAATTGTGATTGTGTGTGATTAATTGTGATTTCATAGACAAAGTACTGATTATCAGCCAATAGAATAGTGAAATGTGGTGATAAGATTTGACAGGGCAGCACATGTTTTCATCCATATGATGTTTTAAGCAAAACATCACTTTCTGCTATGGCAAAATATTTCCATTTGATAACCTGCTTCATTGGCTTGCAATTTTCTTGCCTCTGCTACAAAGTAGCTGGAGGCATTATTTTTGTTGTTGTTGAATGTTTTTTCTCTTTCAACTGGTGATCATTGATACTGCATCAGTATTGTAACTGCGATAATTTTTGAATAGCTGATAAGAGAGGGAGATAACGAATATGAATTTATAATGATGTACAGTCAAACCTGCTTTAGTGATTACCTGTCTACAAAGACCACTTTTTGTGTTTCCATTGGTTGGTCGCTATAGACAGTTTGAGTGTATTATTAAACCTCTTGTTATCTGTACCCAGCAGCCTCAGCAGTTTGGGACCACCAGTGCCTTCCCTCAGAAGTATCAACCCACCAACACCAACACCAGTAGACACAATAGCTACCAGGGGCCTAGGAATTCACACATGTAAGTCAGCTTATCATCCAGTGCTCAAAACTAGAGATAAATATTCAAATTGAAAGCAGCAAAATGACAAGGTTAAGGATATTAGATCCTTACCAATTGTGATATATATTTATCCTTCAGAATTAATTGAAGCAGATGAATTGTCTGTAGAACAAACATGTTCCTCTCTTTTGTTTAGCCTCCTCTCAACAAAAAAAGGTCAGATGTTAAACAAATATTTGAGGTTCTCTCCTATGTATTGTGCTTTTGTACTTGAGACAAAAGTTCAAAGCCTATTTATAATCTTGGTAATCAGAAAGCAATAAAATATGAACATTAAAAATGTGTTAAAACAATTCCTTGCTTTGATAGAAAGAAATATTATCTTGTGATTATCTATGTTATTGTTAATGTAGCGCTCATGGAAAACATTTAACATACGATGGGGTAAAGTTGTCTTCTGATGTCAATCACTTATCCTTGGAAGATATTAATTCCTAATTCACCTTTTCTTTCTTTTCTTGTTGTTTCACACATACAGTATATCAAGTAGAACCGTAAAGAGTCACCCCAGGTCGTCCAGTACTCCTGAGTTACGTATGAATGATCATCGTATGAATGACCGCATGGGTATACTGGACCCCAACCTCCCGTCTCACCACAACCGTCACTACCACCCTCATGAGCATCGCAGGTCGACGCAGCAGCCCTCCATGCCCCTCAATAGCTCCCGTCTACCCCCTTACCCCAGGGGAGGAGAGGAACCCTTAGAGAGGCTAGATAGGCTTGATAGGATGGATAGGAAGGAGGATAAAGGAGGAGGAGGAGGGGAGGTGTTCCTAGCTCCCAAGAGGAGAGAGGGTAGCGCCAGAAGACCACACCCTCACTTTAACGATGATACCCATATAGGCAGCACTAGTACCTCATTACAACAGAGTCATAGGTAAGAAAGCTAGTGGGTCTTGACAAATTCAAGTGCCACTTTTCTTATGTTGTGAATCATCCAATACTGCAATGTATGATATTTTACTCTTTTTTCTTATAGATTTATTTTAATTAGTTTATTGTATCTTGTTCAGATTCCTTATTCCTGCAGTCTTATAAAAAAATACCTAGGACTTCAATGATGTTTCATGCATCTCTCTCTGAAGTGGTGCCATAGGCATAATTTTAATTTTGTCAAATATATCAATGCGCATATTCTGTACATAAATGTTTTCTGCATTTGAGGATTATGTCAATAAGAAATTTGAGTAGGCCAGAATTAAAAGTAATAAATGCTTATACGTGTAACTTTTTATCCAATATTAACTTTTAACAGTGGGCATTATGATCTATCTCTATACATGTAACTTTTTATCCAATATTAACTTTTAACAGTGGGCATTATGATCTATCTCGTAGGAGACCTTTAAGTAGTAACTCGACAAATAACAGTACCTTCCGGGGTGGTCGAAGGAGGCGAGATGACGACATCCCTCCAAGCAGGAGAAGTAACAGCACCGGCGGTACCACCATCACCACCAGCAGTAGTAGCAGTAATCACAATAGCAGCACCATGAGTAGTGCAGGTGGCACCGGGGGTAGCAGTGCTAATACCAAAGATAGTCGAGACTCCAAGGAGAAGGAGGCTACTAAGACGCCTTCCTCTCCCAAGATTGATCTGGCATCGTTTCCACCGTTGCCAGGGAGACCTTCCAAGGAGGATGGGAGTGAGGAAGGCAAGAAGGACGAGGGATCAGGGAGTAAGGATGTAGCACCCAGTATGACTCCAATGGCTGATGTAGTCAAGGGTCTCAAAGAACCCAAGGTATGTATGTATGGGCATGTGTATGGACATCAAAGAAGAATTTTGTCTTATTGAAGCTTTCATTATTTGGTTGTCTTCCAGTGTTTAGCAGGCTTTATATTTATGTAAAGAAGTATTTTAGAGAAGTGCAAATTATAGTTTAAACACCAAATCAAAACACCTTTTGTACATTTTTTCTAAAGCTTGTGAAATATATTGTAATCTCAACCAAATTTGGTGTCACTAAGTTTAAAACAAAATGTAATACCCAGAGGCAATTAATAACCTCTTTGAATTTCAAGAAAAAAAACCCTACATTTCTTTGTCCAAACATTGTAAATTCATGATCAATTGTGAGTGTTGATTGATTCGCCTATGACAGTGAAGGGGTTGATGGTTTGAAAGCTTCAAAAAAAAAAATACAATTACCTTCTGGGACGATGGGTCATTTCTTGAGCTTTAAGGTTTGGGTCCTGGTTTGGAGTGTAAGAGTGAAACTTTGATTTGTACATTTCCCTTGGCAGAGAGCTGCTCCTCGACCAGTTGAACCCAAGCCTACACCAGTTGCATCAACCAAAGACAGCTCCACTAACACAGCTAGTCAATCCTCCGGGAGCAAAGAGGTAGAGAAACCGGTTGCACCTGCTCCAAAACCAGCACCACCAACTCCACAAAATGCCAAGTAAGTCAAATAAATGCTGGTTCAAATAAGAGATAACAAAGTGTATCTGGTCTCTTCTTGTAACATTATCTAGCTGACAGGAGTTTTATGATTGTTTCAGTACAGGTGTTTAGTAATGATTGGAAATTATTAATTATGAAACTACATTAATCAGATTATAAATTAAGAATGGTTTTGTGTTCTCACAGAAACTTGGTATCCTAAAAGAAATTTGGTGTCATGAAATTAAATTTTATGGATAATGACATTGGTAATGGTAAAAATTGATGTGAATTGTAAAACCAAAGTTGATCATGACTTTTCTTTAATTTTTTTTTAGATCTCTTAAAAGTAGATTCCTAGTTTTGTTTAAAGGGAACATACTAGATTTAAACTGAACCATACAAACAAACTTTAATTTTAGATACTGTACTATGTTCATACTATCAGGGCCAGAGGGCAAGTATTTGTTGTAATTGAACAAGATTATGTAGAGAGCATTTATATGGAATAGGGAGGGGTGTCCAGATCGTACCCTTTACCTTGTCCGCATTAAAACCACCTAAAATTGTGAAATACTTTGTTTGCTCTACAGGCAAAAGCAAACCTCATCGTACACGCAGACAGACCCTGAGGAGAAGCAGTCCTCCAAGATAGAGGCATCACCTTCTCATGGCACTACCAGTGCTACTACCAACAATACTACCAAGCACAACTCTAGGGCCTCCACGTCCTCCACTCCCTCCTCCTCCTCCACCACCTCCTCCTCTTCCTCTTCAATGTCTGCTGCCTCAAAGAACGGTAGCAGCAGCCATCCAGTGGCATCTGAAAGCACCAAGTCCGTTTCCACGGCAACGCAGGCTGTGACATCATCAGTTGGCACGGCAACGCCAGCCACCTCTTCTGCAGCCTCTCATATGTCTGCCTCAGGGAGATCAACAGCTTTGGCAGGGAGCAACTCGAGTGCGGCGGCGGCGGCGGCGGCAGCCCAGGTCGCAACTGTCAAGACATCGGTATGTTCAAGTCTACCCTGAAAAGGGCGGTTATGTCATCTGGGTCCACTGATTCATCCATGATGAGCCATAGATCAGTTTACCTTTCTATTTTTAGTCAAGGAATAAGTTAATTCCATCTGAAATTTCATCTCCCTTTATCTTTCTTTCTTATCATGATCAATAGCAACTTTTTTCTTGTGTTCAACCTTTCTTTAATTCCTTCACACACCTAAGGTGGTTTGCAGCCATTATGTTTTGGGGTTATATTAGTCCTTCAGTATGTATGTTTGTTTGTTGCCCTGTATTTTTGTCCATACGTCCATCCCACTTACATGTTATTGCAATACTTTAAAAAAAAAAAATCAATCATGGCACAGGCATCTTTCACCATGGGGAGATGAAGTGATTGTATTTTTGGGTTACATCTAGGACAACGTTCATTTATATCACATATCGACATGTGAAAAGTTGAAATGAGAATTATTAGAAAAGTAATTGGTAATCGTATATGAAACCAAATAAAGCATTGAAAATGATCCATTTGCAGAACAAAATGGTAATAAGTATTAAATAAAAGTAGACTAAAGCTTGTTGGAGACGCACTTGTATTCATCTCTTTTAATTTTTGATATTGAGAAAATGTCTGTCCCATTTCTAAAATGTTTAGAAACTAGCAATCCAATGAGGAATGCTTTTCTCTGTATAGTTAAAGAGATGTTTGAATATATTGCAAATGTGTTTGTTATGTTCCACCAAAATATCTTTCATTATTTGAACAACGAATCAGTAAATGGAAATTTGTTTATTCTAACTCTTCTTTATTATATTGATTGTTGTATTACAGGATGGTATTCCACCACCAAGGCTAAGCTATGCACAAGTGATTGCCAAGATGTCAGCAGCCAAGGCAAACCAAGCTGAGAACCCAGAACCTTCCAAGCCTAGCGGTAACAAAACAAGTGCACAAACCACCGGTCCAAAAGATATGCCCAACTCAAACTCAAGTAGCCATGAGAGAACTGTGAATAACTCGTCATCCGTGCCCCTCTCCAACCATGCCAACTCCCAGATGGGCTCCAAGCCTCAGAGATTCCCACGCTATGGGCGCGGTCCTAAGATGGAACAGAATGGAGGAGATGGGGGGCACTTTTACTCTGGAGGAGGAAGACATAGAGGAAGGGGAGAGTATGGGGGTAGAAGATCCCCACCTCATCATAAACCTGCCAGCAAGTAACATCAAGCATCTGTTGGTAGCTAGGAATGAATGCATGTCATGTCCAGCATAGAGCAAGATGACAGACAGACAGACAGACAGTCAGAGAGAGAAAGGCAGCACACATTTCGCTCCCTCAGCCTGCTACTTGTAGTGGAAATGTTTACTTTGCCAAAAAAATGAGCTGCACAGTGCTTGCACTTTAATGGAATGGAATGGACAATGATGAGGGGATTTTGATATGACTGGAAGTTAGTCTTCCTTCGTGAAGTTGGACGGTCGGAAAGAAAACTTGATTACTTCATTCACAGGATGTGAAAGTTAAAGGAACAGTACGGTTTCTGAAAGAAATGGAATATTGGTATTGGTATTGTTTGACCTTGTGCGCTCTTTTGAGCCAAGGTTACAGTGTAGTCTACAATGGAATGAAAACAGTAAACAACGTCCTTGAAAATCGGTCGGGTAAACTATACCATTGTCACTTTGAGAATTCTTCGACATGACAACATTACCTGAGAGAGAGATGATCACAACATTGTGGATTGGGAGAAGTAGATTTTTGAAATTGTGCTTTGTTTGAACGAAAGAGGACAGATTCAGTTTGGATTTTTGACACTGAAATTTTTTGTTTAAATGTCTTTGTGGTATGCCAAAAAGTAGCATTGACACAACTTTGATTGGTGGGAAAGATGGCTTCCAGATGCAGCGTTTGTCAAATATGCTTGTAGGCAATTATACTAGCAATGTTCACCAGGCAATGGCTGTGTCAGTGGACAACCATTGATGATGCCTTTGTCTTTCAATGACACGGACAAACATTATTTCTTTTTCTGTCGACTATTATTGTTGTCAATTTATGTAGAGATCTACTTTGTGAGAAAAAAAGTGGAAAACACCAGGCATTAGTTTTGCTAAGCAGAAAAACAAGCCTCAAGTGAGACTTTGCACAATTGATTTGCAATTATGAGATGCTAAAGAAGAAACATGATCATTATGGGAAGGAAGTTGGAAAGGGATCAAGAAGTTTGAGCCATCAGAGACTTCATAGTAATGCACATGTTCATCAACTTCTTGATGCAGAAAGTGCAGCCATGGCGTGTCTACGCAAAGTAAGGAGGAGAGACTCTTGACTTTGAGTCATGTGTGAAATAGTCATTTCTGTGAAAATGATTTTAGAAGGAGTAGCAATGGAGCCCATGGAGGAAAGTTACATACCATCATCAGGAGAAGTCAGCATCAAGAGAATGGTATATTGAGGGTTGTTCAAAATGATGCAGAGAGAGAGAGAAGGTGCTGGCAAAGGGATTGAATTGATGTATATTTGTACAGGGAGTAGAGGTAACAGTGCTGTAGGTATGGGGGAAACCAAAGTAGACGAGGTCATGGGAAAGTGGGCCAACTTATATTGATCAGCGTATGATAAATCACTGATTCATGGACAATTGCCAAGGGTACCTCAAAAGGTTAATACATACTGTCATTTATTGGGCATGTATTGGTTTGGTTCAGGTATTCCCACTTGGGACTTTGATTGTATCAGGTGTGATGTTAAGAATGCTCGTACAGAAGAATCATCTGTAGGTGTTCAATCCATGCAGGTAGGGAGGACATTGTGTCGGGGGTTACAACGATTATGAGAGCTATGTCCAAGTAATGTCATGACAAACATCAAACCTCTACAACAGCTGCAGTTACAGGTCAAACTCATTGAGGTACTCTATAATTGGAACAACCTTTTGGGTCGTTTCAATTTGAAGGCAGTAATGAGCAATTCATTCAGAAATTCTGTTTTCTTGACATAAAGGTAGGGAATCAGTGAGAATATGCTATACATGGCTCAACATTCATCCCTTGGAAGAAAACAAATGCAGACTGTAGAGAAAATCTGTTTCATTCATCTTGTACAGATTTGGAAAGATGAAAGACTATTGATGTGGTGATATGGACAGTATTTTGTGTTGTAGGTCTCCTAAAAACACTCGTCTTTCTTGGCACAAAGTTGTAGAGCTACCATTACTTGCCATTGAGTTGAAATTACTCATGATTCCTGGAGTACAACTTCAGAAACCAAAGTCAAATGATGTACTTATAGTGGAGATACGCGAGATATGTCCAGCATGTGTAGATATTTACTCTCGAGTGCCCCTCGCATCTAGAGTAGAGTCAAATGCTTGCTCACTAGACATGGTCTTGTATTATCTATGTATATGCAAGCGCCTCTCAATCGTACGTCCACATCTCTAAGACTGCATTGTTGTATTCTTAAATGTGGTGGTAGTAGTAGGAGAAATGCCACCAGAATATATCTTAATGCGAGAAGAGTTTATTAGCTTGCCAACTGCAGAAAGACTGCTTATGCATGATATTTGTCCATTATTTGTTCCGGCTATTCTTACTAAACAGAAATATTGATAGAAACACTCTAGTGTGGTTGACAGAGATTAGTACAACAAGTACAACATATATGTGTGAGTTTGCGCAATGTGAATGTATGTTGGAACTTGATTTGCCAGATGCAAAAATAGTTAAATGGGGTGCCTCATTACATGGACTTTGAGTAACGATAAAACCTCAGTACTTATCTTCAAACCATTCTGAAAATATATATATTTTTCACATTACATGTTAACCAAGAAAGTAAGATGAAGATAATATGCTGCTGGTATTATTCAATGAGAAATATAAAACAATGAGAAATATAACCTATTCAATTTTATTTTCTTAAGGGGTTTTCTTCTGCTTTATTTGTTATAGCTGCCCAAGGCATTCATCACAAATAGTGGTAAATCTTTGTTTTTGTTATAGAAACCCTAAACACCAGAATTTGTTTTTATTTAGGACAAATCTCTGCCAGGCAAACATGGAAAGATACAAGATACGTTAAGAACAACTTGTAATGTAATACACCCAAGTTACCAGAATTAATACATACTGGTACATTCCAAAATATCCAAATTTAAAGTAGAATTTAAAGTAAGCTGTGTATTTTAATCTTTGCATGTAAACTTGGATGTGCGAGTAGTCCCTTGCAGGAGGGAATTAATGGCTAGTAAAGAAGTGTTGGTTAACTTGTAGAGTCTTAGTGGTGCTCTGGCCAAAATACAAGCCAATGTTGATCTCACTCCCCCCCCCCCCCCCCCCCCCATCATTTGTTGGTAATACATGTTGGCAGTCTTGTGTTAAATCATCTTCAACTTGTGAGACTTTTTAGTATCATGTCCATGACTAAACATTATCAGTGTTTGCTGTGACAACATACACCAACAAATGTTGTTTGGTACAGAAGTGCTTCCGTTTATCTCGTTATTCTCAAGAGCAACCCTCCTGATCGCAGCAGTCCTCATAGGAGATAGTGAGACAATTCCACATGGGTGTTGACAACCAATCATGACTCACTTTTCTTTGTTAAAGTTCCATTGATTTGTATAATTTGTACAAGCTCATTTGATATACACTTACAATTTAAACTGTACATGTACTTGCATCAAAGCAGAACTTCTGTGCAATAATTTCATTTAAAGATGTAACACTTTAACCTTTGGAATTACTAACAGATTGTACTTGATTCCTTTTAAAGGAGCCCCCCCCCCCCCTTTTTTTTGAGGGGGGGGGGGGGTGTCATAAGGTTACAATACATGCTTTATTTGTCTTTGTTTCCCCCATGTGGAATCATCCCACAGGTCAATCTCTTGGCATCTCCTTGCAGATTTAGATGCCACATACCTGCAATGGTAAAATGATTTCTTATCGCAGTGACATCGGCAGTTAGAATTTAACATCTTAGGGTGCTAAACGTAGGTTTGATTTATTGTTGCAGCTTCCATGAAGGTTTGTTTATGAACCATACATGCTAATATGTCATTTATTCAAATCTGTTCAGCTTCCCTTATGAAAATGCCTCCTATGATGTAACAAATGATAGTGGTCATTGCCCCAATGCCTATGGTAGGATTATATTCTCATCTAGAATACTACCTGTAAAAGCTCAGAGGAACTAACCCTTTGTTGAAAGTTGGCTTGTTTGGATGCAAAACAAAATTAGACAAACGATTTTAGGAAAGGATACCTTGAAGATGTTTAATTACCAAATTCATTGATTACCTTATTTTTATTACTAGAAACATGTAGCACTGTGTTAATTCATCTTAAGCCATTACAATGGATCACACAGGTTTTTGTCATTAAGTACCGAAAGGTGGACCTGTGCGCCACTATTATTATTATTATTATTATACCGAGCAATACCACCTAGAGACTGATAATGTTTCAATTTAGGATCTAAAGATCTGGAAGAATTGTACAGTCAAGAGAACTGGGAGAAAATCTTTGAATTATCCTTGGGTACAGACCTAATCCCTCTTACATTTAGGGGCGTCGGCAGAGACGGACAGAGGCATACATATGGAGATAATATGTGTGTTTCTTATTCTGAAGAACATGGAGGGTTCAATTCCATGTCAAGTATTTGGGATAGAGTGGTGTCACTCTTAATCATGTTCAGGTTTATTGTGCTATGTCACTGTGATAAAGAGCCCTGATTCCTTATAAAGCTGTCTAAGAAGATCTAATGATATTTTTTGAAAAAGGTAGTGAAAACATGTAAATCGTAACAAGACTTTTGAGCAAATGTAGGGTGCTGGTTTATAAATATATATTGCTGTTTTTCAAAATGTTTTGCTGTACATAGAGATAAGACAAAAGAGTGAAAGAAATATGTAATGTTCATTTGTTGTGAAATTATTTGTGTGTATGAAGCCTTAATAGTAGTTTTTAAGAATTGTCAATTGATAATAATGAAAGGGGAATTGTAGATTACAAATGTAAGATTATTACTGTGTTGGATGAGACCAACTTAAATTTATTTGAAAAGAAAAGTTTTATGAATTATGATTTCTTAATTTGAGGATAAGTTGAGATTGGAAAGACCATGATAAAGGGTCAATAAAATTGATGATGTCTCAATATGTGCTGAGATTATATGGTTAAAGATAATGATTGTTTTACCTGGCTGCTAAGAAAGCAAGTGTATGCTTTAAGTCCTTTCTGCAGGACTTGGTAATGAGCATTAATGCCCTACCAAGTGGCACTAACCCATTTGACTTTGTTTCAAACCCGCTACTTCCTGTTCACCGAGACCACTGCTCTACCACTGAGCCATCATGCCATCATTGCATGTTTGGTTGTATGGATAGACTACAATATTTAGGCACCTTGCCTTCACAGTGGACGTCTGAAATTTCTGTAGCAACTATAATGTCCAGTCTACGTCCCTTTTGGTTAAAAGTGGGAACTATTATTGTCCTTGCCCGTGAATATTGCCACAGCTAGAGGTACTAGTCCTACCCTCTCCCTCATTTGTCATTTTCTGAAAAATAAGAATGATTGCCGAGCATCAGTATGTTGATGCTATATGCTTCAGGATTCATCTGTTGTAGGCCTGCCGTCCTGTATCTCTTATACAATAATGATGGTATAATATTTTATCTTATTTGTTTATTGATTTATGTTTATAAAGGAACCATTTCAAAATGGCAGCTTCCATTGTGGTGGTACCATTTTCAAAACTTTATCTTCTTCATCTTAGTTTTAAGAGAAATTTGTTCTAAAGAATGCCTCAAGATTAAATCTGAGCAGAATTCTTTTTAGCTCTTCCTTTTATTATAGAAACGCAGAAAGCTCAGTTATAAGTAATATATCTTATTTATCCAGTGTTTTTTCCTCCATCTTTTAATTTGATTTCTTTGAAGAAAAAAAAATCTTGCCACAAATATCTTGAGCTGGCCATACATTATTTTCATAATTTCTTTTGAAGGATTCTTTTTACTTTTATGGATTTTATAATAAGACCATATATTTGAATGAAAATCTTTAAGGTTACAAATCACTAAACTAAATTTTTGTTTGCCATTTATACAAATTTGCAGGGGAAATTAGCTGTTCCAGTATCACAGTATGATAATTTCAACATAAATGCATGATGCACCTATTAAAATTGATCAATCTTTTCCACTGTATTTCTTGCTTTCTAAACAATAAGGTTAAACTAGTCGTTGACATGTAGGAAGAACTACAAAAATTGTAATGATATACAGTTTGTCTTTTTTCTATTGCTTGGAAAACTGGGACAGAATTTGTGACGATGAAAGAGCCCACATTCTTTTGCCTATTGTAAAATTGTTTAAAAAAGAAAGAAATATAAACTAGTGTAGGTCAATCCATTTTGCACTTGCATTTGCAATGAATTGATATTAATTGATGTTTGAAAGTTGATAACAAGCCAACAATCTGAATTTGAATAGCATCTTAGAAGTGGGGATATTGTTTTATTGTCTTTATTCTCTCTCATGTAAAATATGTTGTGAACTTAGTTGTGAAAATGAAACATACAAGCTAATTTACCTCTTTATGTATCTGTATTAGTCTGAATTGGTAATTCCCGTAATTTGTTTATTCTTTTTTGATTGAAATACATGTTAAAACATCAAATACTGTACAGATGTTGAATGTGCAATTTTTCTTTCCATTTTATTGCAAGTAATTCATGTTAGATGTCCTAATATTCTTTTTAAAAGGCTGTTGTGTGTTATTTTGTGTACTTGATATTCATTTTTAGATGTGTAGTTGTAGTTTAAGGAGATGTTTTATTTCACTCTGTCCTCTCAGCAAGAGATCATACTCGTCAAGTAGATAAAGAAGTTGGGTCATTTAAATTAAAATTAATTGTTGAATTTTCTACGCAGCTAATCAAATAGTATCCAAACCATTCTCCATGATATGATGCTATTCGAATGCATCCATACCATACTGGAGAATGAAATGTTTTGCTGAAAAGTATTGCATCATTTCTATCTCATGATTCCATTTTCATCAATCAGAGTTGATTTGAATATTGTGTGTCACACAGCCAGTATTGCTCTCACATATTATGATATTGAGTCTATATTTTACAAAAGAAGGCTAAGCACATTATTTTTGTAAGATTGTTTTTCTGGGAGTTTATCTCGCCCCAAGTCTGTTAAGTTGAGATTTGTTATGTCCTTGTATGGTTTGTAAGTGGAAAAGGTACTATGTACATGTTAGTGTGTAATGTTAGCTAAACAGCTTATATTAAGGCTTTTCAGATCTCTAACTCCATTTATCACTATTTTATTTACTCAAATTTTGAATACATCATTTTTTTAAACCATTTTCTATACTTTCCCCTATTTTACTATTTCCATATTACTCTCTTGATCAATCGTTTCAATATAGTTTTCAAATTCCATAAATGTTTTCTTTTCTTTTCTTTTTTAAATCAATTCAACATCTTTGATCTTGTCTTTTGTGGAAACGGTGTGTTACTATAGTATTTCTATGTCAAACCTTTTGGGTCACATACAGTATGCTATTGTTACTGGGTTTTTTTCTTCTTTTTTTTCCCCGAAATGAAAAATAATTTGAACATGTTTGTAGTGACTTGTCAGTAGCTTGATAAAGTTAGTTAACAGGTATGCATTTATTACCATATGAAAGAAAGAAAGAAAATATTTTGGTACACATGGAGTAGTTCATAAAAACGAGTACTGTTCTTGTTCATTTTTTTCCCTTTCCATCTTTTTACTTTTGGCCGTGAAACTTCTCTTTGCATGTTCAACATTTGATATATTTCAGGCTTACTTTACCATTGCGTGTTAAAATCTTTTGTGTGTATATATACATATATATATATTATATATATTGTCAAGTGAATTTCTATGGCAAATAAAAAGTAACTGCAGTGGCAGATTTTTGGTGTACAGAAAAATCCTGTACATTAATTGACTGCCTTATTCTAAGATGTATTTCTGTATGTTGAGAACCAAATCTCCTGGCTATGGAAAATAAGTAGTTGAAGCAAAAAAAAAAAAAAAAAAAAAAAAGTTCTAGAACGAAAATGTTTGTGCTGTCGCATATATTGCTAATTAAGGATGTTAAAGAAATTGAATTTATGAAAAATCAAAAAAAGATAAAAGAAAAGAAAAAAAAAAGATAAGATATATATGCGTTGACATGTTGCTTTTGTTTCTTTTTTTCTTCCAAGTTGAAATTGGTGCATAGACATATTTTAATGACAAAGAAAAATGATTTAAAATATGCTTATTTTTCTCTGTTGGCTTGTGGAAATGGGTATTCTGATAAACTTATCATTTTGATTTGGGTTTACTATGGGATATATGGGTTAGGCTTAGGTTTGTGTCCAAATTGAAAGCCGTCGTGTTACAATTATGATGGGGTGATATCTTTACTTGCAATTTGTTCCATTATCTGAATTGTATCTGTTTCAACAGTGTACTGTATTTATGATGTGTCACCTCGAACAAATGATCTGAAAATACCTTGCAAATGTAGATTTCAATAGTAGAGGGGGATATCCATCCCACTATGATACAGAGTCAAAGCCTTTGTAAACAAAGAGATTATAATTACTGCATGCATTATATTGTAACAGACGTGTTGAAAAAAGACAACTTTCATTGGAGAAAAAAAATGTCACTTTCTTTCTTCTTGTGAATGAGCTATGTGGATAAAACAAATTAAATGATGAAACATATGATCTGTGGAAAAATATATTCAGTGTTTTGTGTCATTATTGTGGTGAATAGATACCTGTATATATATGTGGAGAGAGAGGGAGGGAGGAGGGAGGGAGAGAAAAAGAGAGAAGAAAAAGAAATGTATGAAATGAAAGAATTGGTCTACCTTAAACAGTAGAAGAATAACGGGTAGAGATATTTTCCTTCAAACTATGCATGTATGTGGTTATCAAGCTTTGTATCTATGCACAATTGAACCATTTTGTTTTTCTTATTTTAAAAGATATATTTTGACAAACAATGGAGATCATTTCAGATGAGCTGATGTCATGCCAAGTCACATGCTAAATATCTTGATTATTATGAAGCAGGGTTAGCGCGTTTAAGACACTGTTTTTTAAGATCACCCATATATATTTTTTAAACATAAAAAACATGATTCAAAACACCCCGATAGACGTGTGTGTTACAAATTTAATTAGCATTTTTCTCCATGTGTTATAATTTTCTTGCTTAAATTATTTGGTTTTTCATTTATTTTGACATGTGCATGACTCCACATTTGCTTATTAAAATACCAGGGGAGTAAAATCTTTGTCCATCCTACTTTCTCTATCCTTGGGTCTTCTGAAAAGTGGATGATACTGTCAGTTCAAGAGGATAAAGCTCCCCCCCCCCCCCCCCAGTCTGACAAGTTAGTTTCAATCGCTAAACAAACATTGTCAATATTTATTACTGGTGATCTGCTGGGATATTCCAAACCTTGCAATATGAGCCTTGTTGAATTACATTGTATGCATATGCTATAGTTTAGACAACAAACTTATATGCCTGCCCTATTTGTCAGTACACTTACAGTGTAAGCTTTCACATGTTTAAAAAAAAAAACATTTCTGCAATGTGACAATTTAAAAACTTCAATTTCATTTTGAGTCATTATCACTTCAACACCTGATGGTATAAAGACCTATAACGAGTGGTGCACTAAGAGGCGTATCTATGGGGGTGGCAGAGGAAGACAACATTCAGGATCCTAAATTAATGAAAGAGTTATGGTTTGAGAAAGAAGTCGATAAAAAACTATAACGTTCAAAATTTGAAATCACTGTTCGATTACACAGCCAAGGATTTTTTAAGTTCCAATATTTGGGCAGCGAGATGGCCAGATTGAATAGGCCATTTTCGTAATGTAACCAAATTTAATGCATAAGTGTTTGTGAAGTGCCTCAATACAAAGTATTCATTCACCTGGATAATAGTATTTCAATAGTCAGAATGCAATTGCATATATTAAGTGTTGCTAGGTAGGTCAAGCCATAATGTTTGTCCAAACTGACAACAACTAATGTATGCAGTTTGGATTCTGTCTATTGAAATACGATTATTCTTATCAGGTGAATGAAATAATTTGAATGAGGCACTTCACAAAGACGTATGCATTAAATTTGGTTACATTACGAAAATGGCCTATTGGTTGAAATAACATTTTTGTTTGCTTCACTCGCTTGTGAAATGTATCAATTGGATGGTTGAAATTCAGCCACCAGGCCTCGCTCCCACCCCCCCCCCCCCCCCATGAAAATATGGAAAATATGCCCATGATTTCAGAGCTCCAATGCACATTTTTATATGGGTAAATGCATAAGAAATTGCATTTTGTTGGGTTAAAAATGCAAATAAATATAAAGGGATTTCATTGTTTGCCCTTGGATGCCATAATACCTGACCACAGTCAACACCGGTGACTGAATAATCTCAGTTAAACCATGTTAAAAAAGGTTTTAAACAATTGAATACAATTAAATCATTACAAACACATGTTTAATTTGTTATCACAACAATGTTATGAAGGAAAGAAGAGATTGTTTTTACTAACAGGACACCTTATATTAATCATCAACTGATACTGATGAGTACATGTGACTCTGTGTAATGTACTGATACATCACATGATAATCAGATCACAAGTGTCATCTACTCATTCATCACATGGGGGAACACACACGTGCCAACATTGTCTCATATTATCACCCTTTGACTGACACACAAAGATCTGAATTGAAAATCAAAGCTCAATTGGTGTGCCAATATTCAATGAATTCTCATACCGTACTCGCATTCTCCCTTTTTTTCCACTCAACTCATTATCTCCTAAATTAGTTTGTGATGAAATTATCCTAACTGCCTCATTTACATCAACAAGAAGCAGGAATTATGCTTGAAAACTCTCATTTCAAGTCTTGCTGAATATACAATACTTTTACAAAATCTCAAATTTTGCTTCAGATAACCATATGTATCTATAATCAAAGATGAGTAGGTTTCAGGCATGTTTTGTATTCAGGGTCTTTCCTTGAATAATGTTAAGTCAACAGAAATAATAGACAAACTTGAAATAAATAGACTGGTAAATAGCGTTCATATTGTAATCTCTTATAATTCATTTTTATTGAGATACATTTGATATAAGGCAACATAGTAAAGAAAATCATGGAATGATATCAGATCGTACACATTGCATAAGAATTATTCTTTTCAATGAAGACGTGTCTTTACTAGCTATGATATACAGTGTGTATCAAAGAAAAGTATACCCAACTTTGGTAGATTCCCAACTGTGTGACCGTGAATTATTATATTTCATTTTACCGAGTAACTAATATTCTGTCCAGTGAACCCTTATTTATAACTACAATAGAGAAGTGAGATTTTACACATCATGAGACAAGAAGTTAAAAGGATGTTAGACCTAATTTAAGGATGTCCCGTGGATATGTAATGAGATTATGTGAAAGCTTAGATACATTGCATCACTTTAAACAATGAAACATGAAGTAGAATTCAACTTTTAAAAGGATCTAAGACCAAATTAATGCATGCATTTGTTGCATCAGCCCAAACTTGGTACAAGGGAATTTTGACTCCACTTTAAAAAAAACCTGGTGCTCAGTCATCCCCGGCAGAAGAATGATGAATAGAGTATCATTAGACAGAAAACAGGTTACCTGTAGTCTTTACCATGAAATACGGTTTATATCACATCAATTATTACTCTTTAAAGGCATCGTTTAACAATGTTAAATCTGAGATGCATGGCCCTATGTGTTATCAGTGTCTGTGATATGGTGTAATATTGAAGCCCTAAAAAAAAAATCGCGCTTCAAAATGATCAAGAAGTGCCTCAAAAAAGTAAAAATCTTTGTGTGACCACTTTTACCATACTCGTTTTCCCCAATAGACTGTAGTGTTATGAAAACGGTTTGGCAAACGGTTTTCAAACTTTGTAATTCCAATTATAAATATCTTCATAATCAGACAGGTGATCGGCTTGTAAAAGTCACTGGGTTCCTGACTGACTTAAAGGTTTATAATTATCATTGCAGCATGAGCTAAATCCAAGATTTTGTTTCAGAATCTGAGACAAAGTTACCAGATCCCTTTAATTATAAGCTACTAAAGTTGGGCATACTTTAAAAGAAATATGTACCGTATATCTTCATATAAATTTACTGTCACATACAGACTTACAAATATATTTGTATATTCTCTTATATTTCATTCAAATTCATTCAATAAATGATTTCAACACAAGTGATTGCTAATTTGAGTTATAACATGCATATAATCGTAAAGGAAATAAATTTGACAATTTTCAGGCACCTTATACTCATAATTATGTACACACTAAATGTTCATATTGATTGCCTTATAGTGTCAAAATATATTTATCTGACATTTGTATTTTGTACCATCTTTCTGAAAATGGTGCTCTTACCGGTACTTCCATCCCCTGACGGTAATACCCTCAGTCTGCAGAAATTTGAGAAATTTCATTCCAGATATTTTTTCATTAGCTTGAGAGTGCATTCAAATTGTCTTAAATGTTAACAGCAGGAATTTTCATCACCACTGCACAAGCTCATAAATGTCATGAACCATGCACTGTGATTAGCTATGCATTCAACTACAGACTGAGAATGTTAAACTTATCAATATCAGCTAAATCATCAACCAGTGTTTGGAACTGAATCATGTAGCTCATAAGTCTTGATGACAAAATTAAACTGTCTCTACAATAAGCCAGTTCACGGTTGCAGTCTGAGCATGAGCAGATAAAGGTCATTGCAGAACAAATTTTGATATGCACGGAGACGAAATACTGGATACGTGCTCATGAAAGTTATGTAATCATTATTCATTAATGCACAATCAGTGCACTCCATGATACACAGGTGGAAGTATTCTTTAAAAAGGGGTAACAAAGGCTATTTATATAACACCTCCATCGCTGTATGAGTGATTATTTCAAAATGTACAAAGTGGGACCTTTTCATGTTTTTGAAGATCTGTGGATATTCGGGGTCATTGCAGTAATGTGCTAACCGTGAACTGGTCTATTAAATGGTGACAGCTTTGCCCACTTGTTTTGCTCACTTGCAAAATCTTAGATATTCACAAAGAAATGGCTTAGAAATAGTAAAACATATTTATACAATAGGAAACTCAATAATACCATGCAGAGCTGTGAGAATCTTCATACCAGGGTTTGTATTACAAAACATATCTACATAAGTAACTAAAACAAGATATAAGATGTCCACATATACAAACAAATGTCTTCAAATTCAATGTATTACAAGTTTAAATCCTTACCCGGTTAATGCAGAAATAAATTAGCCATGTATTGCAGTAAAAATGCTTCTATGTATCTTAAAAAAGGATTAAATATGATTATATATCACATGAAGATGAACTACGATATGTCGTGTATAATATACATCTACAGAATCTATACAAATTGTACATGAATACCTTGTTAACAAATAATGAATTGACATTCATTTTTTAAAATTTTTTACTTTTACTTTCATCTGTTCCATTCAATTGTCAAAAGCAGATTTACAAAATAAAAAAAATCTTGATTTCCCGCAGCGGTATTTCCTTCTTTTTCCCCCAAGAATTCATAATATAACAAGATATCAAAGGAATGGTACTAATGACATTTTGAAGATAGTCTGATAGCAGTCTGATACATGATGAGTAGCTAAATGATATGGTTAGCCACAACTCTATGGGATTCACTTGAAATTACATGTACTTTGTAGCAATTATACATAGGATTCCAGACTTATTCAAACCACAGTATGACAGAATAGAATCCTTGTAACCTACATGTAGTCTTATCGTAAGAAAACACTCATTTCCTTCTTGTTAAACTCTGACAACTTTTTCTTCCAACTTCAGGGATTGTTTTATTGTATGTCAAGCCACAGTAAGAAACCATTTGATTTCAAAGTTTGTAATACACAATGTACAGTACTACCTCTGCAAGAAGCAGAGAAGCACTAGCTTGCTTGCGTGTACAAAGCACTATAACAATAGCGTGCATGCAGCCTAATGGCAGGCTATGAGTTAAGTACATGCACTCACCGAACCTACAACAAATAAATCAATACAATGATAACCAGTATGCTACAACATGCAATCATGGGTGTCTATGTAACAACAAATTAACTCTATTGGTTTTTTGTAGCCACGGATTAAGAAACATTGTCTGATTTTCCTGAATCGTTTATATCTTGACTAACAAAGAATCACATAAATATATCTGTAACATATCTTTAGACTTGAGGCTTGTTCAGATATAGCCTAAAAAGCCACCACCTTTTTTTAAAACGTGTAAATGAATGACAACTGCGTGGAGCATAGAACTTACATGTATTCACCGACCTCTGTGTTATAGGATAGAGAAATGTGAAGTGTATTACACTTTACATCATAAAAACAAAACGCTGTGGCTGAGCCGCGTCATATCTGAACGGCCCTTTAGGAACCTTGAGAGTAGTCCACATAAAAATGACATATAAAAGGCAAAACACTGGTACAAAATATAGAATAATATTTACATCTGAATGTGAGTGTAATGAAGTAGGCAGTTGCTTTTTTAAGGTCCCTATCGGCAAAATATGAAATGTAAAAAGATCATTATGTATGTGAGTTTTTAAAAAGGCCATTGTTTTGATCTTGTAATAGCACATTTGTGAAACATATACATTGTTGGTCCAAAACCAAAAATGGAAACTACTGCATCTTGTCTCCTAATGTCCAAGCTTATCAAATGCTCTCACATTTAGCTGGACTCATGGTTTTGATGCTCACAAAATTTAAGGAAATGAATCCTAATGGGACGCTAGTGCTGTGCTGGGGCGTGAACCCATGGTCACGTGTTATACCACTGGACTAGGACACATCGGTTTGTTTCAACTATACACATGGACAGGCACTCCTTTAATCATAAGATACAGAATTTTCCATTGCAATAAGCATGGACATAACATTACATCCAATCAAATGGAAGGTGGCTTGTTTGATATACAAGACAACTTAATGTTGAGATCAAATTATAATAGTATATAATCTTATCATATAATGTCAATATCTGAACTGTACAAAAATCTCATGAATATTCCCATACTTCTACAATTTAGTAACAGCTACCAACACCTAAATCCTGTTTCTAATCCCATCATATCTTCCAGTTATCTCCATTTCTTCTTTCCTGAAAATATGTTTCTTACTCTATTTTCCCCCTTTTTATCTGCCTTTACATCATGACTGTATTTTTCTTTCATTATCAAAGCACTTTCTAGAAGCTATATTTCTAAATTTTCAAATACGATTTGAGTAATATATAAGTATATGTAAATGTGTCAGTAAAGAATTGAATTGATATCAGACACTGGCAGAAAAAGAAAGAAAGAGAGAAGAATAATTACAAAAAGGAAAAACAATTAAGTGAATTTAGCTTCAAGTTTACTTCATGTCAGGTTGAAATAAGAGGATGTTAAATCTTGCGTAATATAGATGTCATCACTGCAGTTAAGCAAGGCAAGAATGGATACCGTAAGCACCAAATACTGCAGTAACATCAATCATTGTGGTTATATGTGAACGTTAACTCAAAACCATAACAATTAATATATTGCAAATGCCCAAGAAATTGACTACATTAATTATTCAAAAACCAAAACCAAAACCAAAACCAAAAAAATGAAAAAAATGAAAAGGGTTATTATCATTAAATACAACCTTTAAGTGAAGCAGTTTGTTACAATACCACTAAACCCTATTTTATATTTCTTTCTAGAACTGCTGAAATTCATGTTGTTGCGTTAGAAAAAATTATAATTAATAAATAACTAATATGAAAAAGAAGATCTAAAATGTGTGTTCATCTCCAGACTATCTCCCCCAACGGAGACTTAAATCACACACTATAAATTCAGCTACATAGATGCTATCTGCTTTGCTTTGCTCACACAAATTCTTATCATACCTTTTACAGGACTGGGAGACTACTTATGAAGATGTCACTAGTTGGTTATAGCAATTTCACAATAATATTGAGTTGTGTCAACAATGAATGTTTTTAAGCAAAGGATTATAATTATAATCATCAGCATCACTTCCCTTTTAAAATGGTGTGAAATTTGTTCATGTTTAAAATCTATCAAACTCTTATTATCAAGAAATAATTGCACTGAAAATATGTTCATTAGTTAAAGGATGTTGGCTGCTAAGGCAGGATTGTTCCCTGATGTGCACAAATCTAAGAGAGGTGCTTTTATTTGTGTTAATCTGGGGATTGTTCAATATGCGGTTGACCTAAAACTTATACTTTTGTCATCCGCAAGCTTCCTGGTTTCTAGTGATAATCAATTGGCCATACTTGTAATTTGATATGGCTGTCTACTTTAAGGTATTACCATATTATAAATGACAGTTGGTCATGCCAATAGTCCCTTGCATATTGGCAAGTCACATTGGCACACTGCTGCCCAGATGATCACCATGTAAAACACCTAGTTTTAAGCAAATCTCAAAGTTTCCCGACTATTAAACCTTTCAATGTGACCATGTGGAGAAGGAAAATCATGTGCTTTCCCAGTTACATTACCCATAGCATTGGAAGAAATTCATAATAAATGGAAATGATAATAGTGATAATAATACATATATCTTGCTCTCAGCTATTCTCCATTTTCCCCATTATCAGTTCACATAAAGTATAAAACAAATAATATTGCTATGAACTGGTGTAGGGTGAAATCATTGAGTTGTAATACTTGGAGGTAAACATTACATAAACCCCCTTTTACAGTCTGATGTTTGCAATTATGAATAGGAAACAAGCATTTCAGATTTGCAGGTGGGCGGTTTGTATATCTATCTATGACTCAACACCATACTACCAGTGATTTTTAGAACAGGGCATTTTTTCATGAATCATGTTTCACAGTCATTTCCTCTTAAACGGATATTGAATCTCAGTCTTCAGAAAATTCTTCTATATAACTGTGTGTAATCTCCAATACTGTGTTCAACACAAATAAGAATAATAAATAACTTTGACATTCTTTTATCTAAGTTGACATTATCTCAATGTCATTTGTATTTTCTTCAAAAAAATCCTGAAGTTCCATCTAGAATCATCATTTTTTTCTCTCTAATACCCCTTTCAAACTGGCCTGATTTTCATTGGATGCATCCGAACGCATCCGATGAAATGGCCACTATTAATGCTACAGAGGAGAAAAAGCTGATTAAATAGCCGATGAAAAGAAGAGAAATAGGCGATTAAATTCTCATTCTATCGGTGTGACACTGATGAAACAGCTACCGTGAATGCGTTCGGGAGAAAACAGCGATTAAAATGGTCAAAGGTCGCAGTATACGCGCGCTTTATCGTAACCAGCTGTGTTTGTTGACTTATGGTTGAACATGCTGCATGCCAGCTAGATGGGGCGCGGGCTCAATAATTACGTTATAATTCTTCACTTCCGGCAAGGGCTCGCCACAGCGAGTGAATTTCACTGGCAGTATGGAAGTGACAGCAGGAAAAAATGGCGGTTTCACCTTTGTTTATATAAGGAAAATTCAATCTGTATTTTCATTGGTGTGACTCCGATAAAAGCCAGTTTGAAAGCAGTATTAATGTATAAACTTGAGGGGAAATCAGGTCTGTATATAGAGTCTGTCCCCAAGACCATAAAATATCTCGTAAAATAAGTCTTAACTCAGAGTTCATTTCCTTCTAGCCATCCAATACAACAGAATAATAGCATCACTTCTAATTATCAACTTATAATTAGGTACCTTTTGCTGTAATATATGGTATATATCACGCTTCATCTTTCTCTAAACTCATAAAATAATGATAATGCTTTCTCCATCCTCGTTTACGCATCGTCTCATCTGAGAGAGAGAGAAGGGAAGAGAGAAGAAGAGGTTTCCATGAAGATGAGGTGTTTCTATCATCAACTCGATGAGGCGTTACGATTCTTCAACAAGGCCACGTTGTGAGCAAAGCTGGCTGCCTGGTCCCGCATCTGCTCTGTCTTATCCTCCAGTTCACCCAGCTTCTCACCTCGCTCCAGGGCAGCCTGCACAATGGGGATGGGATGGGGTGGGTTAGGGGTACGATGGGGTGGAGGCGGGGTGGAGGCGGGGTGGAGGTGGGGTGGAGGTGGGGTGGAGGTGGGGTGGGATTAAGAATGTCCGGTTTAATAAGGGTGTAAGGGTTTGGTAATGTAAAGCAAGATATAATAATGCATAAATGAGATTATAGAAGGGGAAGATATGTTTCAGATATAGGATTTGATGTATTTGTTAACAAAGCAGAATTATGAAGAAAATATAAGTAAATTGGGTAATGAAAATAGAAAATAAACAATTAATGAAAGAGGAATTGAAATGTTATATTGAAGAGGATAATAGGTATACAAAGATGGAGACAGAGACAGAAAATGACAAATAGTGGAAAAGAAGAACAAAGAATAAAGGAACATATAGATAACATTATAGACAAAAACAAGAGATACTTGTCACAGAAACAGAAAAATGATTACCTTTTTGGATTGCAGATAAGTAAAAAAGAAGAAAAATGATTGCAAAAACATAATACAAATTACATTTACATTCGGTAATGTTAAAGGTGGGATGGAAATTTTCATCAAATGAATGGAGAATTCATCATCAGATCATAATCTAAAGCTACAATCTACATGATAAAAATGCTACATTTGCAATTAAGACAGTCCAGCTCCTCATGGGAATCATTGTCTTTCTACTAAATTGCTAAGTGTTATGCTTATTAGTGCATGTATTATGGATATATTCTAACCATATATGTAACGCATCATATGCCATGGGATATTAGGTCTATAAATGTTTATCAATGTGGATGTTGGGGAAAGAAATAAAAATATAAATTAAATGTAAATATTGTTAATCACATAAATCTAAATGAATTGATAAGCCATAGATTTATAACTTATGACCAAAAATGAGCATGAGAATAAATGATTGAACAGCTTCCTAAATGATAGGGGGTATCCATGGCTGGTTCGCAAACGAGTGGTGAAGTGTAAAACATAAAACAACTATTTTTAGAATTTCTCAAATTGAACTTCATTTTCCAAATGAGCATCAAAAATAATGTCCAAATGTCAAACACCAATTGAATATGTAAGTATTGGCTGAGATATGACCTTTTGAATAAATAGATTTCCTATTTTGCTATTTTGCTATTTTGCTCTGGTTCATAACATTACGAACCAAAGCAAAATAACACTGAGTTCTAGCTATAGGAAATCTATTTATTCAGATGGGCATATCTCAGCCAATACTTAACATCAATTAGTTTTCAACACTTGGACATTATTTTTGATGCTCTTTCAGAAAATGAAGTTCAATTCTAAAAATTAATTTTATGATGTCACAGTTTTGGTACTCTATAGGGGGATTCCATTAAATGTGTTTTAGATATTGATTGTCTCAATTAGAGGAGAAATATCCCTTGATATATGACCATTGCGTGAACAATGTTTCTTTCGGTACCTAAATTACAATGAGAACCAATGAGAACCAATGAAAAGGTATTTTTGTGGGTCATAATATTTCTTTCATATTAGGGGAAGAGGAAAGAACGAAAAACATTTCATATTGCAGGAATGGATCCAGGATTATTTTTAGAAAGGGGAATAAGGTAGGGTGGTGTAAAATATTGTTAATACTCCAGGGAACATGACTTTGGGAATAGTGCCAGAACTAGTAGGAGTGATATATTACATGCAGTACTGCCAGGGCATGAATATTCTGCCCCCTATCCCCATAATGAAAGTGATTTCAAGAATCCCTATGACCCCCCCCACCAAATTGCTCATTGGGCAGGGGGTGGGGTGGAGGAGCAAAAAAAAATCATTAAAAGAACCCAAGGAATATGATATCGGTGGGTTGGGGCATACTGTCAGATTTAAAAATAAATATATATATACCAACCTTCATTCCCCCCCCCCCCATATAATTTCAATGAGGAGGCTGTATGATTTGGTTTACCCCCCCCCCCCCCCCTGCATTGATCTTTGATACCGAGCTACGTATAATTAACTAACATACATGACCCTGTGATTTCCATACAAAATAAGCTAGTAACGATAATCACCACACAATATTGTGCACCACAGTACCCTAAATATTTTGTCGGAATGTCCTGAACAACATACACAGAAACATAAAATTATTTTCTTTCAAGAAAAGAGTAGAAATCAAATAAAGTATTTATAACACAAAGTCTGGTACCTCAAAAGAAATGGGCAGGAGGTAAGGATAGAAACAGAAATAGAGAGGGAAAGAGAGAGTGAGTGAGTGAGAGAGAGAGAAAGGGAGAGAGAGAGAGAGGAAGAGAAAGAGAGAGAGAGGAAGAGAGGATGGAGGGCTTAATATGGCCTACATGTACCTGTCTTGGGTCTGGAAATCCTTGTGAAGACTTATGGCTTGCTTCCTCCTCCTTCTTCTTCTCTAGAGCAGCAAGTTTATCTGTCATTCAAACCACAATAATAATTATAGGTCAATTATATGAATATACTCTACTGCGCTCAATACAAGGTATCATATTTTTACTCTGGCTGAAGCTGAGCTGCCATGATAAGGCGCTAAAGCATTTCAAGGAATCAAATTCCTCTCAGGTATCCATTTACATCACATGGGTTGAGAGTGGTAAAGAAAAATCAATGTCTTGCCAAAGGACATTAGTGCCACGCCGGGACTCGAACCGCTGACCTTGTGATCGACTATCCGGTGACGTATCCACTCGACCATGACACCTCTACCTTATATGAACATGATGCCGAATCAAAATAAGACACAGCATACACATCACACAGTTTGCTTTATTAACATATCTCATATATTAGAAGCAAGATTGTAGTATTTGAGAAATAATTGTTTTAGACAAATGAAATGATATTGATTAAAGAAATATATACATGCAAAATTTGAACTCTAAGGGCAATGTAAGTCAGTAGAAATGCTTTGTGCCAATTTTGTTCTTATTACTGTTTAAATATTTAGGGGCTAATTTTTTAAAATTTTAAGTACGAATAAAAGGATAGTATACATCAATTAAAATTGAAGCACACATACATGTACAAATGTACAAAGTCAATGATAATATATATGTGCATTATCTTCAAGTCTCATGATTGGTGTTCTCTCCTTCTCTCATGTAACCCTAAGTTTTGTCCTCATGCCTTTTAATGGCTGACTCTCCATCATGTGATCTCTATTTCTTTATTTCTTTCTTTCTCTCTCTCTCTCTCTCTCTTCTGCTACTTAGCCCTGATGACACTTTTCCCAATTCTTTTTTTTCAAAGTTAAGCCGTATATTTCTCCCTTTAATTTGTTCTCTCTCATCCCTCTCTTCCTCTGGTAATTTCATTTCATTCTATTTCAATTATTTTCCTGTACCATATGGCATCACTTCCCTTACCCCTCCCTTTCTCCCCCCCCCCCCCCTCTCTCTCTCTCTCTCTCTCTCTCTCTCTCTTTCTCTGTACCATTCGCATCCTGGATGCATATATTATACATGCAATTCTCTTACTGTATGATTTACAAATATGGCATCATTTAATATGGATGTACAAGTATCCATTGTATTTGGCTTGAGGGCGGCTAGTTATCCTAAAAGCAGCTTCACATTACTTACCTCGTGCATATTTTGACTTCATGCGCTCTGAGCTGACCCTTTTGAACTGGCCACTGGGAGATGAAGTCTCATCTGCAAGGCAAATCAGAGAAGGACAATTGGTCAATACATACATCTACATGTTTTGTCATAGATCATCCACAAAATTAAACCTGTCTTAGTGGCTACCATTCTATAAAGACCACCCATCTCCTAGTATGATCACATAGAGTGTCTCCTTTTAGAAATAAATGTGCATTTAGAATATGTGTAGAAAGGGAGAGAGAAAGAGAGATGGTAGGAGGGAAAAGGAGAGAGGGGGTAGTAGAGGAAGAAAGAGAGAAAGGAAGAAAGAGAGAGAGAGGAAGAAAGAGAGAGAGAGAGAGAGAGAGATGGGGGAGGGGGGGGGGGAGAGAAAGAGAATTAAAAGAGCAAGGAAGACACACGTAAAATACCAGAGTGAAATGACCAAACCTAAAAAGTAAAGCAGGGCAGAGAATATAATAAATTTAAAAACATACACAATACACAGGCAAGTGAACTTCTAGACATACATGTATATCATATGTAGTAATGCAAGGCCCAACAGGACACCACTCAACATGGCCCCTAAAAGTTAACTTAAATGGGACCCCTAAATCTGGATTTCTAAAAAAAGGGCCTTTATGCAAATCTGGATCCCTTATTGAAATTAAGTTAGTAATAATAATAATAATAACTATTTCTTATATGGCGCTTTTTCAGGAGGGCCCTATCAAAGCGCCTTACAGATATACTATTACCCCGGTCATCGGATTCAAGGCTTACCCGCACACAATGTATGCACATTCTCCACTCCCTGGGGAGCATTCCAGCCAGGCGTCATTTTTACAAGCGCACACTTGCTAATGATCTAAGCACATTAGCTTTCGCATCCTACCGGGTACCCACTTAACACCTGGGTGGAGAGTGGCAAATGTAGATCAATGTCTTGCCAAAGGACATTAGTGCATACATTTTGGTCAATGAAACTAGCTAGAGAGAAAGCAAGAAAATTGTCGATTCTAAAATATATAAGCCACAAAAAATACAAAAAGAACTCATGTTTTAACTTACAGAAACCCTCATCCACACTTCCAAATGTACATCTAATACAGAGCATTTTCAACCTGACGATACAGCAGCCAAGTTCAAAATAATCACAACAAATTAAGTAAAATTTTTCTACATGTACATGTATGTCCACCCTGTGCTAGCTATTCAATTTATCTACATGTATTTGCATAGAATGTAGATTCATCTACACGCCACAACAACTTTGACTTGAAGGTTCTGGAAGAGAGCCAGTATTGTGCTTAGCAACTGTCAAAGGAGGTACACAGCTGCTTGTTGCTGATTTTTTACTAAAAAACGAAGATTGAGTCACCTTCAAAGTGTACGGTATATTCAGAAAGTGACACCTGAACCACATACATGTACTGGGTATCTCAAATGTGTTCATTCAGGAATTGAAGTCCCATAATCTTCCAACTTTAAACTTCTCCCTGCCTGCATCTCCATAATTCACTTTCTAGAAAAGTGTAGGGTTGCTGGGTCCCTAATCAGAAACTTGTTATACACAATTTTTCTGGACACTTGATGAACATCAATGACAGCCTACATGTCTACATGTACCTACATTACTTCACATTTAAATGAACCTCTTGTTTTCCCCCAAGAGGCTTTACAGGTTGAAAACTTAACCTGTACTACACCCCTGTACATGTATGTACCACTATAGTCTACGGACACTTACTGCAAAAGAAGTTTTAAAGAAGAAAAAAAATTCAGTCAAGTCATTGACTCACTGTTGAATTAGGCCAACTTCCTTATGAACAAACTTGACAATACATTTTCCTGTTTGAAGAAAGAAAGAAAGCCCATTCCAAAATTAAGTGGGTTTTGATAAAAACACAAACTTGAGAGAAATTGATCACTAAAGGTCAGAGTGAAATTCCTGACAAAGCAAGCTGAACAAATTTGAGAATCCAAAGTCACTAAATGATATCACTAATTTAACTTGTCATTTTAACTTGTCATTATAAACTCAGTCAAATCTAATTTCCTTTGTTCTTTAAACTAATATTCTGTCAAAAGAACATTTAAAAGGATGTTGTAAAACAAAATGAACTTGTACATGTATTATATAGCCATATAATATACTGCAATAGATGTTGCATTATTAATGAAATCACAATATAGTACTAACCCATGGTAAGTTTTCAGATGGGAGTTTAGTACTGATTTGAAAAGAATCTGAATGCATAACATTTGATCATCAAGTTCTTTTTAAAAAAAACTTCTTTATCCCCCTTTGATCCATTTTCACAGCTCTACTACTAACATCCAGAATATTTTGATGGAAGTTTCTTAAATTATAATAATAATAATATGTCTTGTTTACCTAGGGTAGGCTCCTCAGTATTCACACTGTTCTCCCTGAGGGCCCTGCAATTATATCATAACCCCAGCTTTAGCCGAGCTACCTTGAAAAGGTGCTCAAGCATTCAATGAATCCCTTCCTACCAGGTATTCATTTACCTCACCTGGGTGGAGTGTGGCAAATGTAGATTAATATCTTGCCAAAAGACATCAGTGCCGAGCTAGCACCTGGAACCATGTGATCCACACTCTACAAAACTATCTTCCTAATTTTATGTTATTCTTATATTAATAAACAAAATGAAAATTAGACTTGTCACATTCCAGGCTTTTTTTTTTCCAGCCCGCAAAATTTGGATTGCTGCAGATTTTGAGTCCCCTAGTCACAAACTTGGAGCTAAATTCCTATTTTTATTTTTGTATTTATTTTTTATTTTATTTGATAGGTCAGAGTTTTGAAGCATGTCTTGAATAATTGAATATAGATCTACCAAACACAATCATCACAGAGTGATGTAATAATGTCTGCTCAAATACAAGAGGGTCAGCCACAATGACCAAATTCTCACTTGTACGTGTATGTATGGTATCTTACAGATGAATATAGAGCTTCAAGTGTTTTTAATTACGGCTCAACAAAATGGAACAAACAGCATTTTGTCTACTCGTATCCAAATGCGATCAGACATTGTTCAGAGACAAAAGTGCCTTGATATTCCACTTTCATATACCGTAATACTTAATTAATTATTCTTTGTATGAAGAGTTGACTGGAAACTATGATATCAAAATGATAAAATGGAATCACCTGATTCACAAACTGGTATATAGTTCCCTTTAACACATAGGTAAATATAAAGCACTATAATGTGCTTGAATCTTTTGGTAATTAATGCATATATACTGTACTCCTTCGATACACAATTGCCATCTGGTCACCATGTTCATGTATCTACATGTATGTATGGCTACATATACACGTAGTATGGTATCTCAAAGTTGATACCAAGAGTAGAATATTAAAGGAGTCGACATGTGAGGCAAAAAGACAAGACAACTAACACCTGCAGGGAGAAGGATACCTGATATACTACGAGCTGATCAAAGTTATGTAATCATTATTCATTGATGCGACAACGGTGCTGGATACTCGATATGATGAAAATGGTGTACAGGTAATCATTATTTATTGATGCACTCACTGTGTATTCTATTATTGTAGATAGAAGCTCATACAAGTTATGCACATAGATGTATGATGCATTCAATGACACACAAGTTCAGGTAACCTTTTCAGTAGGGGAAGCAAAGGCTATATTCATCCATCCCTTTTTGACAGGGATTCTTCTCAATTATTCATTGCATCTAGCTGCGAACTGCATGAACACAGCTCCAAAAGATTAACATACATATATTTATAGAGAAAGAAATAGGGGGGGGGGTGGGTTGTGAACTAAAAAGCAGAAAGGGCAAACTCATTTGTTTTCTCTTCCTTATCAAGCGAGGGGGATTACAATTTGTTCTTAAGCCAAGGACAGATGTAGCTCAGTTGTCATTAATTATTTTTACGGATTCAATAATAATGTACAGTAGATTATCAAAAAAAGTGCCAAACATTAATCAAAATTAAGCCTTCAACAAGGCTTCGCTCTTAACCAACATGAATATTTTAGTTTATCAGAATTTCGGGAATCAAGATAATTCCCATTCTAAAATATGTGTTTCTTAGAGCATTTTAAAGGTAATGTAAGGTTTTGGGAAATTTTGAAAATTGGATGGATAATCATTCTTGAAAATTTGATATATTTGGTGGCCCTTTGGATGTATTACGAGTAAATTTTTGAAAAAAATAGAAACTTATATGTATCTATATAAATTAGAAAATGATAAATTTTGATTATACTGAAAGATAAAAGTATCTCATTTTTCTTAATGTGAACCTTTTTGGGTGAAATTCTTCATATGTTGTAAGTAAAGTGAGAACTTGAGAAGGTATAGTAAACATCATGCAGCCCATACAAACATAGCAATACAAAATACACACTTGTGAGTGCCTGCACACAATTACATACATAGGCCTACATGTTGACAGACATAGAGATGGCTGTGATGGTTACAATATCAACATAATCATAATGTATAAGTAGCCAATCTAAGCTATCCATGAATACAATTATAAAGTATATTTCCTGATGCCTTTAAGCAGTACATAAATTACATGAGAAGCTCTAATTTGCATTCAGAGCAATGAAACGTGATACGACCACCATCGCATACATCACAACCATCGTATAGTGTGCATGTTTACACCGTTTTATTAGCATGCATTTTAAATCATCTCCAGTTTCTAGACTGCCGCATTGTAAATGAGCCAATTATACCCTGGTACACACTACTGTCATCAAGTGTGCTCATTAACAAGGAATAAGAGATCACACAACAACATATGCTTACTCATTATACAGATAGATGATGATCACTAGAAAAGAAGAGAAGATGGCACTTCCAGCGCTCGATACACAAACACCACAGATCAGATATCAAAGGTCCTCCGTGATAATAAACGCCCGACAGGAGATAAAATATGAAGAGAGTACGTGGTAAAGGCGAATAACAGCTAGTGAACATGGGCTGATATAACTGCGGATCGAGTAAGATGTGTGTATCATCACGCCTGATGGGGTGCATGTAAT